GAGCAAAGAGCTCAGCTGAAGTGTCTGGTTTAGGCCCCCAGGCAGGAGCCAGGACACTGCAAGTGCGGTGGGAGGCCATGTCTAGCAGGTGGCTGCAGGGCCACTCGGGTCCGCACCCCTCCCTTGCCGATGACGTGCCCTCCCCTGGGGCAGCACCTACCTTTTTCTGACCTCTGACTGGTCAAAAGGCAGCACCACGTGGCTGTTCTTTGAGAGGCCAAACTGGCGCGCACTGGAAACGAACTGTGGAGCCGGGTCCACCGCACACCGGCCCTGTAGAGAGCAGGCAGGGACCCTCAGCTGCCACCTAGGACCCATGGAGAGGACCTCGCACACCCCTCCCGTGCCAGCAGCCCCACAGGGTCTGCACTGCACAGCCTTGGTTCAAAGGATGCACTCACTGACCCTGTCTCTCCAAGCATGGGTGGGAGGCTGTCTTCCAACCTGGCCCGCTAGAGGTCAGACCTTCCTGAGAACACAGGCGATCCCCTCACGGGTCTCTAGGCTGTCCCCACCCACCCTGACTCTCTGGAGATGTGAGTAGACCCAGGGGTGGGGAGAGAGAGCAGCGTGGTCCCCAGGTGTTGCTGGCTGTCCCGCAGGGCTCCATACCCTGACACGTCCTGACTGTAGTCTGCAGCTGCCACTGAGAAAGCTGCCCTGGACTCCTGAGACCAGCTTGTGTGGAAGGGAGTGCTTGTGGACGAGGGGCCAATGGGTGCCACAGTGCCCGCTTCCAGTCAAGACAATGGCACCATGGGGGAGGAGGTAAAGAGGAGCAAGGCCAGCTGCTCGGAGTGAGCCAGACCTTTCCTCTCAAGCACCAGGCCTGTGCACAGTGGCTGGGGGCTGAGCACTTCCTCTCGTGTTGCCCCAGCTAAATGGAAAGCAGAAACGAGGCTCACGTGATAGAGAGCGGGGTGCCCAGAGGATGCTGGGGCACCGAGCAGATGCCGGGGTGCCCAGAGGATGCCGTGGCTGTCACCTGTAGCTCGGCAGGCACAGCCTTGCTGCTGGCCCTGTGCAGCCCTCCTGGGTGCTGGCCCGGACTCTCCACACCTCCAGCCTGCCAGTCCCCACGCAAGCTCCAGGGTGGGGCTGCGCCTGGTTACCCTCTGTGGCCCGCACTGGCTCTCAAGCAGCCCAGCGGGAAGCCCTGCAAAACCTACACTCACCGGCCTTGGGACAGCGCGGGGCTGTGGCGGCAGCTCGCCCTGGTCCTGTTCCTCACCAGCGGCCGGCTGGGGCCTTTCCGCTAGCAGGCAGCTGTCCAGATCCACTTGCTCTGAGGCCACTGCGCTGGTGAAATCCAGAAGCCTACGAGCAAACCAGAAATTGTCTTCCAAGGGAAGGACGCGCGACTCTCACACCACTTCCTGTGCTGTTCCCCAGCTGTGCGTGGGCCCAAGGAATCAGTATTTTTTTTTTTTAAATCAGTATTTTTATGAGAAGCTTTTGTTACATTCTGGGAGGTTTGATCCGAATGTTCTGAAGTGCAGGTGACAGATACAGAGGTACCTCAGCTCACAAATTTAATTCTCCCCTCAATTCTGCTCATAAACTGAGTTAAACGAGACCTGAATTTGATTACTGAGCAATTCAATACCCATGACAAGCCACGCTTGGAGACCTGAATCTGACCATCGTCCAGTGACCCAACCTGCAGTGCCCATACTGGTGGCCATGCCGTCCCTGAGCATCGTGAGTGTGGGCTTAACACCCCAATGCTGTCTGTCCTCCTGTCTCTGGCTGCCCACTGGCTTCCGGTTGGCAGGTTTCCCTTGCCAGGTCCTGGGCTGCACCTACCCTCACCCCTTCCTCTGTGGCTCCAGCAGGGTGTCCTGGGCCTGCATGGGTGCTGATGGTGCTCTGCTGGGCGCCCAGTTTTGGGTGAACGTGGGATGGCATAGCCAACAGGGTGGACCAACCCCATGCCGAGCTGGGACCCGACCCAACTGATGCTACAGTCTATACTTGCTAATTCTAGGGCTGCCTAAGCTTTCGTGGAGAGAAACACTATGAGCTGGAAGACCCAGACCCTCAGTCAAGGTCGCAAACGGGTGAGCAGCCTGGCCAGGTGGGGGCCTCTGTTTCCTGAGTTCCATGTACTTCCTGGCCTGCAGGGTGGAGCCCTGATTCCTCCACAGCGATGCTAGAGTGGACAGGCAAACAGCCGCAGGCCTGGACAATCCTCTCCCCTATCACGGCTCCGCTGGAGAACAGAGGTGACCAGTTCTTAGCTATGCGGCAGCTGCTTTTGCAGAAACATCTGTCATCTGACAGTGCCAGCAGCTCAGTTACGTTTGGACACTCGGTCCCTGAAAGGTTTGCCATCGCCATTGTAAGTACGTATCAGAAAGATAGGTTAGGGCCGGGGAGAAGGCTCAGTGGAATAAGCACTTCCCTGGCAAGCGCAAGGGCCTGAGTTCAATCCCCGGTTCCACAAAAAAAAAAAAAAAGAAAGATAGGTTAGCCTTAGAAGGTTACTGACAACCCCACAATGGTCAGAGGTTTTCAAATACACAGTCTGATGACCAGATCTGGGGGACCTTGACGGTGAGGGGCATATGCTCTCCTCGCAGATGCCTGCCTGTGTCCACCCGCCGAGGGCAGCAGGGAGAAACACGCTGGGAGCTGGGACACTCACTCCCTGTTGAAGACGAGGTTTCTGATGCAGCCATGGAACGAGCCCCTCATCTTGAGCACTGACGTCCGCTCCCCCTCGGGAATGCCCCCTATGTACAGGGCTGATGCGTTGACGGTCCTGCTGTCCGCTAACGGGCCCAACCTCATCTCCACTGGTGTCATCTCATCCAGCTGCACAGTGAGAATTCTACAAGGACAGCAAAACATCTCCTAAGTGGAATGGAAGCCTGGCCTCACTTTAATGCACAACTCCAGAAAACCTTTTTCTAACAAGTATTTTAAAATTTTGCATTAGTGCGTGTTTACAGTGCATAATGACACCAGCACTCAGGAGGGGCCAGTGCAGCGCATGCCCCCCGCCCCCCGCCCTCCTCTCCGCCTGCCCCGCCCTCCATCCCCCCATCTCCAGTCCGCCTGAACAGAATCTGCTCCTCTCCCAACTATCTATTTTTTATTTGGCTTTTTTTTTTTTTTTGGTATTTTGAGTTTCTCATAGAATAGAAACCTAGAAGTATTTGAAGCTTGTGTCTGATTTATTGCATTTAATATAAAGAAGGATAAACCTGAGTCATTCCCAGCAAGTTCTTAATAATAAAATTCCTTGAGGGTAAAATTTTACATACGACGTGTGAATAAAAGTGTTTTGAAATGTAAAGCTTACAAATGAACGTTCTTCAGAAATGAATGAAAGGCTGTGAAATACCTGAAACCTCTACTGTTAACCTCTACCTACAATAAAATCCTCCTCTGTAGTTTTAAGACAGGGTGCTTGCGACCTTGGAGGAGAAGGTGGGAGCGCTGGTGTGCTGCTCCTCACTGCCGCTGCGCACTACTGCCCGCCAGCCGGCGCTAGCACTCTGTGTTTGTCAGTTACGCCACTGTAAAGATGCTTGCTTTACATGGACCCCAGCAGGGCAGGGCTAGGGCTGCTGACCTAGGAAAGTCCCACAACCACCTGGGCAAAAACAGAGGGAACTGACCCCAGCGAAGCATTCTGGCAAGTTTCTACAAGTGTTTCAGAAATGATAAAAACTCATTGCCAACTGCTAATGACTGCTGCTGGAGCCACACTTGGGGTCACTGCACGTCACACCGCCTCGAGGACACCACGGAGACCCTCTGGCTCCAGCGCCTTCTCGCCTGCCTTGCAGGCCACCGTACCTCCGCGTCCTCACCACGGAGATGGAATGCTCCTGCCCGTCGCTATAGGTGCCCGAGGGAGCGTGCACCAGGACCTTCCGCAGGCTGGTCCCATTCCCGAGACTGACGTGCACTTCCACGTGGCCATGGACCAGCAAGACGGCGAAGAAGGGCTGCAGGTGGCAGAGAGAGTCCCCACAAACACATCATGAAGTGTCTTTCACTTTACTTCATTTATTCGTGTTTTTGAGACAGGATCTCACTGTGTATTCGGGCTGGCCTGGACTCTGTAGCCCAGGCTGGTCTCAAACTCAGGGCGACCTTCCTGCCTCAGCCTCACGAGTGCTGAGATTACATGTGTGTGCCACCATGCCTGGCTGAAATGACTTTTCAAATCTTCATCTTCTATAAAAAAATGCAAGAATAACAACGCAAACCAAGCCAATTACTTAAGAAGCTCACCAATTCCCGTAGCAGTTCCACTGTCACGCAGTTCCCTTCTGCCTCTCGTTACATTGTGCAGGACCAACAAGTGAGTGAATTTTTTTTTTTGTCAACAACATTTAAAATTGTTTCTAACTTCCTATTATTACATAGTAGGACATTTAGTTCAGTCTTACGCTGGCTTGTAGAATTTTCTCCCACATTTCTAAAAGGAGCATTAGGAAGCCAGGTGTCTGTTTGTTTGTCTGTTTGTTTTGGTGGAACTGGGGATTGAACTCAGGCCCTTGCGCTTGCCAGGGAAGCGCTTATTCCACTGAACCATCTCCCCAGCTCCTAAGCTGAGGTGCTTGAAAATGTCTGAAGGTCTTTAAGGCTTGAGCCACACAGTGAAAAAGCATAACTGTGCGGAAAGCCCCAGGTAGAAAGGGATCGCAGCACTGATCGACACCACGTCTGTGTGCTGCACTTTCCTAAGAAACTACAAGTGACCTTATCAGGATTGGTGGCGCACGCCTGGAACCTCGACACTCAGGAGGCTGAGGCAAGAGGCTCGTTAAGTTTGGGGTGAGCCAGGTACACTTATTGAGAGCCTGTTTCAAATGAAAAATAAGAGAGGCTGAGGATGCTGTCCAGCAGTAGGCTCCCTGGGCTGAGTCGCCAGTAACACACACACACATACACACACACACACACGCACACGCACACACGCACACACGCACACACACACAGAGGACTGGCAGATGGAAAGAACTTGGCAGTTTCTGTAAGAATTGAACACAGAATTACCACATGAGCAGCAATTCTGCTCCTAGAAACTGGTCCAGAAGAGCTGAAAACAGCTCAAACAAATGTTCCGAGCACTGCTCTTCCATAACCACCTAAAGAGCAGAAATAACCCACCCAACATCTGAGGAGCAGCTGGCGAAATGCACGGTATCAGTGAGGGAGAACGGGCTCAGTCGCAGCAAGGAATGAAGAGCTAAGGTGCCCAACAAGGTCACATCCTCTGTGATCCGATCTATGTAAAAGGTCCAAACTAGGTTAAATCCAGCTGCAGACACAAGGGGCAGACTGCCTGGGCTGGGAGGGGAGGCGGCCAGGGGCCCCCACTGCCTGGGGCACCAGCTGTTGATTTGTGGTGCAGACATTTGGAACAAGAGGGAGAAGTGGGGGCTTTCCAACACTGCATTAAACACTACTGAAATGCGGGCTGCACATGGTTCACTTTAGAGCCAGGTGTGGTGCTGCAGGCCTGGAATCCCAGCACTAGGGAGGCCAAGGCAGGAGGGTCGCTCCAGGGAGTTCAAGGCCAGCTGTGCGCGCGCGCGCACACACACACACACACACACACACTCTCACAAACAGATCACGCTGCCACTAGGGTCTGTGGGCTGGGGCTGCAGGCCCAGCTCTGACCCTGACACCGTGTGACCCTGGGCTCTCTGAATCCATTTCTTGCTCAACAATAAGCCAGGAGAGGCTGCATCTGCCTCGCAGGGTGGGGACGCGGTGTCTGCACTTCCCACTGCGTTAACTGCAGGGGCACCAGCTGCTCTCAGGAGGCAGACCGCTAGTGTCCTCCTTGTCCCTTCCAACAAGGAGACAGGCCGGCTGTGGTGACGCTCACCAGGGTCCCACTCCTGCCCACCTCTTTCCAGCCTAGAACACAGTGAGGCAACCGTGACCTATGCAGAACAGAAGGAGCACTGCACAGCCCCTGTGCGGCTGCGCTCCCCGGAGGAGGGTGGCAGAGACCTCTGTCCCTCTCGCCGGGCTCAGGAGCCTGATGACGCTGCCACACTAGAAGTCACTGACTCAGAGGAAGCCGCTCAGCAGCCGTCACCCCACTCCCTAGGCACACTCACCACGGGTGTGGGGCGCCGGCCCTGCTCCTCCGCACCCTGGCCAATGGCAGCCAGAAGGATGCCGCTGCTGTTGGTGGTGGCAAACGTGGCCAGCAGTTCCGAATCCGGCAACAGAGGCTGGGGTGGCAGCGCCACGTAGCCGCCTCTCAGGAAGCTGACGCTGCGGATGGGCTGGGCCAGGACAGGGAGGTGAGCTTGCTGAGCAGGGGACTGCCTGCGCAGCCCAAATCGTCCCCCCACCCAGCTGCCAGCTAACTTCTGGTTACCCCTCTGTTAACCAAAGCGGTCCCACCTCCAGGACGCAGCCTTTGCCCACGCCATAGGAGTTCCGCAGCAGATCGAAGGTGGACCTGGATATTTCAAGGTTCTTGATGCAGCCCACGTAGCTTTTGCTGGTCACGCCTCTCCTGCAGGGAAGCACAGGAGAATACTGCGATGAAAGGTGGCGTTTATAATGCCACTTCTGGAGAACCAGTGGAAAGCCCTTGTCCACATGCCACTTTGCCCAAGTGTTAAGGACACCACAAAAGAATGACATGATGGGGAGACCTGCAGGTAGAACGAATACCTCCTTAGGACCAGGCTGCTTTGTGACCTCCCACATAAAAGATGTCTCTTATCCAGTTACGGGGACATGTGAATATAATCCCAGCTCCTCAGGAGGCTGAGGCAGGAGGATCACAAGTGCAAGGCTAGTCTAGATGACACAGCAAGACACTGTCTCAAAATGAAGAAAAGGGCTGGGGATGGAGATCAGCATTGCCTATGGTCAATCCTCAGTACTGCCAAGCAGTTAAATGAGAAACTAAAGTGTATTTTAAGGCGAGTTCTAAAGGGCCAGTTCTAGGAAAGCCTGTTGGGAGGCAGCGGAAGCAGCGATGGCGAGGCAGTCTCCACGTGGTGCAGCATGCTCGCTCCCACGGGGCAGGGCGGGTGGCACTACCTCCTAGACGGAAAAGGGAGAGCCCACTGGCTGCAGACTAGACTGCACATTCATGAACGTGGTCCCAAAGGACAAAGCACATCTGGAGGGGAGCAGGACTCTGCACCCTCAGCCTCCGACCAGGGCCCTGTCCTTAGCAGAAGCTGACGCATCTGCGGGAGAGGCTGCAGGCCCCAGGGTCTCACTTCCTACACACAGAGCCTACTGCGTATCCTGAACTGCACCCCAAGTGTCGGCTGTCACAGGAGCAGCAGGAAGCCACAGGCCAACCCTTGCAGGGGTGCACCAAGCTGGGGACCACCCAGCAGCCACATGATTTGAGGCTGTTTCGGTCCTTTTAGCTTCTTCCAATTTGAACAAAGAAGTCCCACCCTCCCTTTGCTCCAGTGTCTCGGCTGTGTGTAGATAAACTACTACCCAACTCTGGCTCTAGGAGAGCTCCTTGTCCTGCATGACAGGGAAGGGCACCCAGAGTGGGCATCAGGAGACAGCTTCTGGCCTGGCTCTGTCTGGGCAGTGAGGTCAAACAGCACTGCACCTGGGATGGCCACACGCCAGAGCCACAACTGGGGCTCTGCAAAAGCCTGAGCTACAGACTGGCTCTGTGGCTTGGATCTCAAATGCACCCAAAAGGCCATGTCCTGCATGCAGGCTGGGTCCCCAGTCTGCAGTACCACTGGGAGGTGGCAGAACCTTTAGGTGGCAGGGCTTAGTGGAAAAGAGAGGTCACTAAGGCATGTCCTTGCAGGGGGACCCAGAGCATTTCCTGTTTCTCATTTCACTTCCTGGTTTCCCTGAAATGAGCAGCTTGCTCCACCACGCACTTCCGAAAGGGTGCTGCTTCACCACTGGCCCAAACACATCGTCAATGGACCACAGACCAGCACCTTCCTAACTGTGAGCCAACAGAGGCTTTTCCTCTTCTGAAGTCAGTTACGTCAGGCTTCCACTAGGGTGACACAGCTGCCAGAGGCTTTGGCTGGGTACACCCACCAAGCCGGTCACGCGTGGTGACCCCCTTCCCTGGAGCTGTATGGTCAGCACTGCTGGTCTTTCACACATGGTATGTTTTTTAATAGTGTGCAAAAGTTTTAGAGCTTCATTTGTCCAATGTAAAGACAATGAATTCCAAAAAGTTTATATAAATCATTAAAGTCAGACAGTGAAGCACGGGTCAGTATTGAAAAGGACCCTGCAGTCCCCGAAGCTGTCATCTGTCACCCAGCTTCCTGTGCTGGTCTCTGGGGGTTCGCATACACGGCTCACTCATCACATAGAGGACAATCCAGAGAGGTCTGCAGAAAGCACAGTTTGTGTGTGGCTTTTTCTTTTTGGAGCTTAAAGAGACTCAACTATTCTAAAAGGTCTACAGAGAGCGTGAAGTACGAAAGGGAGGGAGACACCACCTAGGAGCCCCAGAGCACCCGAGAGTGGGAGCAACGCTGTCACTGCCCTCGCTCGCAGGGAGGCAGCCTGTTCCCACCTTGGCTGTGGGCCTGTGACCTCCAGGACGGTGGAAATACACTTGCTGTTGCTCATGCTATTTTGTTACAGCAGCTCCAGGAAACTGATACCCAAGCAAGACCATCCTACCTGGGAATCCTCGACCGAGGCAGTCCACCGACGTATATCGGATCCTTATCCAGCCGGTTGAGGTCCGAAGAGGCCCCCGGCGCTTCGCCCTGCTTGGTCTCCTTGTCACTGGTGTTGTAGACATCAATGACGGCCAGGAGCCCTGCAAGGAGCCAGAGGAGGAGTAAAGTAGCAGCCGCTTTCGTCACTGGAGCATATGCAAGCTTCTGCCTGTAAAGTTTGTTTTACACGGCTGTGGGCTGTGTTATTTTAAAGACTCCAGATCTGGCCAGCCATTGTTCTTGACTATTCTGCAAAAAATCTTAGTAAATTTATTTTAAAATTTTTATTTTAAAGAAAAAATTCCAAAACAATATGACAGGAGGATAACAATGGTTGAAACACTGGGTAATGTTATCCTTTCAATTAGTTATATAGAGTACAAGATACCAGACTTTAATTGTCCAAACAGTATCAGCACAAACCTATCTGTTCAGAGAACTGCGAGAAATTAGGAGTACAAACATTTTGACTATCTTTTAATTTTTATTTTTTGTGCTGGGAATGAAGCTCTAGGACCTTGTGTGTGCCAGGCAAGCCTTGTGCTACTGAGCTACAGCCCCAGGCCTTAACTAGCTTTTATATTTAATCATATATATATATATATATATATATATATGATTGCATTTACTCTTTTGGCGTCTCACACTAGGAAGACAACGTGGTATTTACACATTTGCTTCTTTCTGAAAAGTCAGTAAATTCAGGATGCAACTGCTAAGGGAGGACAGAGGAGTGTGAAAGAAAACAGTGACGATCTGCTTTCTCGCTCCAGCATGGCCTCTACACGAGCTCACACGGGCAACACTCCTCCAGCAAAATGCACTACGAAGCCACCAGCGGCTTACCACTGCTGCACCACCTGAGTGCTGCTGTGGCCCAGCGCTTAGGGCGGCGGGCTAGAACGTCACTCGGGGACACCAGGAAGCTCTGTGCGGAGTAAGACTGCTGGACGTCCATCCTCACGAGGGCAACCAGCATGGCGCGTCCACCCGTGCCCCTACCTTGCTTCCGGTTTCGCTGGAAGGCGATTTTGTACCAGGTTCCGTTGTTATACCGCCTGTCCGTTGTGAGAGTGAGGGGTCCTGAGCCCAGGTCAACCATCACTCTGACTCTGCCATTGACCAGCTCGATGGACAAAAAGTCTTTCTGTAAAGGAGAGATCAGTTTCCCACTGCTGTCTCCACCCGAAGACTTCTCCTCTTTTCCGTCAGGGATGGCAGAAACTAGAAGTCAAACTGGGGAAATGCCCCCTGGGCTCCATAACTAGTGACCGGAGCCATGACACTAAGAATATCCGCCAGGACTTTCTCGAACATTCCCCAGACACAGACAACACACTGCTCACTGATACCCAACCCACACTGCATTTGAGACAACTCAAATCTCTTCCGTCTCATCACTCAGCCTGATACAAGGCTGGATCCTAAAAGGGAAAGCTGCAGAGTGAGCGGCAGGAAGAGCCAGCCAGCGCAGGCACAGCGACAGCAAAGCGGGCCGCTGGGTGTGGGCCCAACGCGGCCTCCGTGGTCACAGTGAGCACCGACGAAGGAAGAGGTGTTGTTCAGCTGAAACTGAGCTCCCAAGTGCTCAGCCGTGTCCTGTGACTGCGAGGCGTGGCCCCCTGCTGCTCCGCTGCACTTCCCCAGGCCCTCCAGGAATCCATTAGGTGACTCATGGTTCCACACAGGGAGACTGGACAGCACACGTTCACTATGTCTAGCGCCTCACAGACTGCACACGTACGCGCACAAGGTGTCAGCAAACCCTCCCTGCTCCAACACACACGACCCTGCTGCCATCCAAACAGCCCTCGCAGCGGGCTCAGGGCCCTGCAAGGCTCTTACGGTGCCGCTGGAAGCCAGGTAGAGGAGCAGCCCGTGAGGTAAGAAGGTATTAAAGAGCAGGACAATCTGGGTCACGGTGGCCCGCGTGGTCTTCTCCACGACAGAATACCCGCTCCCATCGAAGTGGAAGGACGAGTCTTCATTCTGGGGGCTGCAGAGCAGAAGAAGTGAAATCCCACCCCCTCTCTGGGGGCAAAAGGGCACAAGTGGGGATCTGCTGGCTTCGCCCTCACCGAAGCAATGGGGGAGCCGCCATTTCCATCATTTGACAGCGAGCGTCAACCGCAGCACATGCTGCACACCCCTAACCTCAAAATCTGAAATCTCCAGAACTTAGAATGTTTTGAGCACCAACGTGCAGCCTCAAGTGCAAAACTCTACACCATGACACTGTTTTATGCACAAAATTAATAAAAATAGCAAACAAAATTACCCTCAGGCTGTGAGGCTAAGGGGGGCCAGATGTGAGTTCTGTGCTTCGACCTAGTGCCCTGCGTCCGCAACGCAGCTCGTTGCGTACAAGCACACATCGCATTCTACCCAGCGAAACCCAAATCTGAAGTAACTCTTGCCCCAAGCATCTCAAGTAAGGGACATTCCGCCTATATCTGAATTACACCTGCCACGAGATCAGATGCCGAGCTGCTTCCAGAAAAGAAAGCTACCGTAAGCAGAGTGCCCTGTGACGAAGAGAAGTGTCCTCACAGGAGACAGCTGCTACGAAGACGTCCCTGCACCCAACGCCTAGATGTGCGTGTCAGCTAGCTCGCCGCGCTGTCCTCCAATACAAGCGGTCCTTTCTTGCTTCCAGTGCCCTTAGAACAACCTGCATATTCGTGGCTGCTGCAGGCCTTATCTGTGCCGCGGGAAAAGGAGTTAGGAGAGGGTGTGCCAGGAATGCAAAGGGCCACTGCTGCTAGCACCTCCGGCAGGGCCACATCCCAAAACACTGGAAATACTCCACCGCTTGCCCTTACGTCGTGCAGCTCAGAGAGTCTGAGCACAGTGATGTCCTCACGCTGGGTGACATCCGGAACAGCAGCACGACTTCCCAAGGTCATGGGATTTCTGATACTCCCCAAGTGACAAAAACGGGTAGCACCCTACATTTATTGCTGAGGAAGTAATCCTGAGCACGTTAATCTAGAAAAAAACATCCTATCACTACCAGAAAACCAGTGCAGAACGGAGCCGGGTATCTGACTCGATCACATGAAAGTATTTTCAGGTACAATCATTCGGCGAGGCGGGTAGGACAAAGGCAATCTGTCCCTTTTCTGGAGGAAGAAGCCAGTCCTCAGCGAGGTGAAGAGACACACGCATTACCCAGAGTGGCCGGGTGAAGTGTGGCAGAGGCCAGGCAGGGGCCTGAGCGCCTCGAAGCCCACACACACTCTTCCCCCCCTCGGGCTGCAGTAGCAAGATGCTGCTCATAAGCCTGTAAGGGCAGCAGCGAGCAAAGAAAGGTTTACATGTCACGTCCCAGGCACTGAGCCACGTGACAATGTGAGCCGACAACGAAGCCCCACCAGTGACTCGCCGTCAGTAATGACACCCATCGACAGAGGTCCCGCCAGACGCTACGCCGGTCTCCTGCAAAGTTTCCTTTGTGCTGAAGCCAGTCCTAGACACTTGGGGGACAGGGTGATTCTGTTACGGTGACTGGTGTTGAACTCAGTAAGACTGTTATTAAATGCCTTCTTTTATGTCAGTACACACAAAAGGACACCAGTTGGTCCGCATTTCTCAGTGTATTATATCTCCAGGATCACAGAGCTCCCTTAGGAGTAAGAAAGAACTTACCTATAAAAATCGACTGCACACACATGCACACCACATTTAGGCAATGGTGGAGTAAAGATCTCTTTCATTTGTTTTACTTTGAAATGCAGTATCGCTTTGCAGTTGAGGCTGGCCTGGAACTCACTCTGTCGCTCAGGCTGGCCTCAGTCTTGGTGCTGTTCTTGCCTCAGCCTCCACAGTGCTGGGCCTCTAGACACGGCCCACCACGCCCAGCCAGAATACAAATCTACGGTGCTTTACCAAGGCCCCACTGTGGCTCTCTGAAACAAAGCTGTTTGGGAAGATATCCCAAGTCTGGACAGTGTGCCCTCGGATCAGAACATACACAACTCAGCAAAAAGAGGTCAATACTAAAATACCACCCCGATGCCATCGGCAACACACCCCTCACGGTCGGTAAGTGACTAGGAGGATAAGCCCTGTCCCTTCTGGACAAGTGGAAATTCCTCTCGCAGCGCTCAGGGACCAGCAGAACAACACGCTCCGCATGACACCACAGGGAGGCCTTACCTTCCGAAGCAGCCTCGACACCTGCCCTCCCGCTCGATGTAGTTCCACAGGCCGACAGACCGGCCGTTCAGGAAGGCCTCTCCCATGCAGCCTTTGAAGTGGGTGACCTTTACTGCGGGCGATTTCTAAGGCAGACAGACAAACAAAACCAGAGGGAAAAATTCTCTAAGTACTCGAAGCTTCTCCCTGGGACCTCATTTCTCACGGATCCGAGCTTGGAGTGGCCTGAAATGTGTGGCTCCTAGATGGATGCTGGAGACTGTCTCAGTCACCAGGGTCCCTGAAGAGAAGAGACCCACACAAGCAGAGCTGAGAATCTCGCCCATAGAAACCAAGTCCTTGTCACTCAACTTTACTGGTGACAGGACCACTGATACTGTACAGCAGCCCCAACATGCTCTTCGAGCTTTTCCGAGTTTTAGACTAACGCTAGAGCTAGAACAGAGACATAAGATGTCACAGACATTAACCAAGTACTGTATTCTCCATTCATCAGTGGAAGAGAAGGCCAAGTAGCAAGAATACCGGCTTGCCATGCGTACCAGTGAGAAGCCGCGTCTCCCAGGTACCAGCCCCGAGGCCTGCACCTCATGTGAGCTGCCGCAAGGCAACATGACAAGAGCCGAGCATGCCTCGTGTGTCACAACACAGCGGCCACTCAGCGTCTCATTTCCAGGGTCCCCAGCCCACCAAGCTGCTCAGAGGGACTTCAGAATGTCACCTTGATTTGTCCTCCGAGTCCTCCGACAAACATGAGCGTGGAGTTGTTGATATCCAGCACGTTCGCCGTCCCGGGGGATTTGCTGGATCTTGGCCGAGGCTCTTGAGTGGCACTCGCTTCCTTTACGCTCAAGGAGCCGGTCTTCCCAAACCTGAGTCACAAGGCACGGTAGGGACCTTGCATCAGCGTGTGTACACATGTACACACACACACACACACACACACACAGCCTGGCTGCTTCTCCCTGGGGATCTCCCCATTTTGGGGGTACCGCCGCAACTTGGGGTGACTCCCCCAAGCCCTACAGAGCAGTTCTTAGCAGTTCTCAGGAACACATCTGCTGCACGCTACCTCCCTGCTCACAGCAGTCATGGTGCCTTCAACAATGTCCGAAGACAGCTGCTGTCTTCAACGTTGTACGGATTTTCAGAGATAAAAAACCCAGTACCACACCACCACCACCACCACCAAGCCACAGCACTGCAGAAAACGGGAGACAGACAGACACAGCGCCAGGTGCTTTTAGTGGTTACCCCTGGAGAGGAGCTTTCAAAGGGAACACTGCTGTGTCTGAATTCTGAGAAAATACAACCCCTGGGCATCCCCACCGCCTCTCCTGCTCTGCCTGTCCCTGCTGGCCACAGAAACTTTTTGTTTTTGGAGGCATGATCTCACTAAGTAGTCCCAGCTGGCCTTGAACTCATGGCAGTCCTGCTTCAGCCTCTCAGATTCTGAGACAGATCAGGGGTGTGCGCTAGGCTGCCTGCCGAGAAGCCACTGGTCCATTGTTTGTTTGCGGTAGGATCTCACTAAGTATCTGAGGCTGGCCTCGAGCTCCTGGTGACCCTCCTGCCTCAGCCTCCAGGGTGCTGGCACTGCAGGAGCGTGGCTGCCACCATTCGACCCGCTTCCAGTGCACACCCCTTCACTAGGGAGGAGTAAATATGTTACCAGGTGGGCTGCCCGAGACCTAGACTGTCTATAAATAATACTGACACATACAGAATCTAAGCTTTTAATATTTTCTTCTTTTTGATCACTGATTTAGGCAACGAAGTTTATTTCTTCTGCATAAGAAGAAAACCAAATCCCTGTGTGTTTAGCTTATCTAACCAGGTGTTCTTTGATTGCAGTTTGGCTGTTGAGGAATTCCGCTTATTACCAGAGGTCACAAGACTTAGTTTAAGAGGGACACTCGAGGAGCCCCGCAGTACCTGGTGGCCTGGATGCTGTACCACCTGTCGTCATCGATGCGCAGGTCTGGGAGCTCCAGCCGCGCAGACCCAGAGCCCAGGTCCCAGAGGAAGGCCACCTTCCCCCGCCGCGTCTCCACCGCCAGGAAGTCAGCCTGGGGACAGGCGGGCGGGAAGAGTCAGCGCCGCTGGCTGCCTGACCTCCCTCCTCCCATGCCTTGGTTTGTACTGAGGGCTGAACCCAGGCTTGGGCACTGAGCTACGTCCTCGGCTTTCTTGTTTCGAGACGGGGTCTCCCTAAACTGCTAAGGTGCCCAGGGTAGGCTCGCGTTTTTCGCTCCTCCTGCCTCAGCCTGCCAGCATGCTGCGCACAGGTGTGCACCATGGGGCCTCGCTCAAAGACACTTTAAAGAAGGAGTTGGCACGGTGTTTACTCTGCCCATAGAGAAAGTAAAAGCCTGAAGGTTTTCCCCCTCTCTGGCCATGATGGGGATCATATCCAGGGCCCCATGGGAGTTGTACTCTCACCCCTAAAGGATTCCTCTTTGGTCTGTAAATCCCTTCCCTGGGATGGAGCATAAGTTAGAGTCCCGGGGGGTCGGCAGCTTGGATGCTAGCACCTGCCCTGGCCTGGGCCTTCCAGTGTCTGCCACCAAGTTCTCCACAAAATTCAGTGGGGTCCAGGGCCATCGAGGGACCCCTCTGAGGGAGACGGGACTATCAGCTGGGCCCATGTTCTCAAGGGCACTGGCCCCTCGCACTGCAGCAGCCAAGCAGCAGTGGTTCTTCCCTGGGGAGCCCTGGGGTCCTGGGGCACGAGGAACCTGGAGGCACTGAAAACTTGATGCTGTGACAGTGGCTCCCAGGGGGTGAGCCACAGCAGAGCTCTAGGCTCCTGGCTTGGATGAGATGGCAGAGATGCCACGGGGCCAAGGCACCGCACGCCATCTCACAGGAGCAAAGCTTGCTGACTGCAGAAGAACAAGGGACTTCATGAAGCCCGTTTCCTCCTTTTCACTGGAAAAGTGTCTACTGGAAACACACACTCTCCATGAGCTCACTGACCCCGGTGCTGCTGCCCAGGTAGAAGAGGAGGTTGTCCGGCTCCTGTGTCTTCACGTTCAGAGCCAGTGTGTTGTAGTTGGTGGAGGAGATGTGAGGCTGGTAGGCCCGGATGCAGTCTCGGTCTGCAGCCACAGCCACTTTAATCTGCAGAAGGAAGCGCATCGTGTCCCCGTCCCATAGTGACACACAGGCAGTTCCCTTGTGGGCCCAGGGGGCGCTAAGCTCCACCCCAGGGAAGGGCCAGTTTTCTCTCTTGAAATACAGAATCTTCTGTTGTTTCATAAAGCGAGATATCAGACCACGGTGGAAGTAATCCTACCTAGTGACATGTTTAGATAGGAGAAAGTTGGGTCAGATGGGTTGTCAGAGGATATTTCATATACGAAACGAGATCAACCTGTGTCCTTAAAGACCAGGAACGCATCACCCTGGACTCCTCCCGCCGGATGATGTCAGGGCTCCTCCCTGAGCGCAGGAGGCCCCACGTCACAGGATGCCGTCCACCACACATTCTCTTAACCTGGAACTTCTCTAGGGGTGCTCAATGCGTGTGGGGAAGGGAATCTGGGCGCACTGGTGTGGATACAAACTTCTTCCTCCCTCCCGAAGGATGAGACCCATACTGCCCAGACTCTGAGGAGTACTTGCTTATCAAAATTAAACGGGAGAAAGAAAGGATACCATCTGCAGCCGGCCAAACCTAGAAAGACAGCAACACTCAGCAGTGCCGTCCACACCCCGGGTCTGCAGCCAGGAAGCAAGAGTGAAAGACACAACCTTCGGGCACAGGCGGGACCGAGCAGAAGAAGCCTCTCGCTGGCCTGCAACCCTTGCGAAGGCTAGAGGCCGCTGCGCTTCCTGAGACGGGGTCTGCAGAGGCAGGTGGGGCTGTGCTGCGGGTCTCCAAGCCAGGGCCACTCACCGAGGCAGCCTGCTTCCGGGCCTGGCTGATGAGCAGCTTAATTTCCGATAGGTTTCTACTCAGACTCTCTTCTAACGTCCTCAGAGGCTTCAGCTGATCAAATAAAAGGTTGGCTTGTGTCTCCGCATCTTTAACTTTCTTTCCGGCCAACAGAGCTAACACATACAAGGAGCGAAGGGTGGCAGGGGAGTCAGAGGAGGAAAAGAAGACGAGCGAATTAATCATTAGTGATGCACCAGATAAGGAGAGCAGCCTCTGAACCTAGTCCTTGCACTTTAGAAGCGATAGGAGAAACGCACCCAATGCACTCGGAGAAATGGCACATTCTGAGGCTTTCTTTGCCTCTTTCAGGGCTAATCCAGGTGGCAGTGCATTTCCATTTATTTTTTAGGGACACTGCTGTGAACCAGCCCCACCATGCATGAGTCACCCTGTTCTAGACCCTAAAGACTGAGACCTACTGGTCACTGTGGAGTCGTGCAGCAGCCCCTGCGTCTCCTGAAGTGTGGCATTCACTCCGGCCAGGCCAGCTGATGTGTCAAACAGCTTCTGGCTCAGTCCCACGACCTTCTGCACTGCTCTCGCCGCACTGTGGCTGGCAGACTCCGCCAGGCCCTTGGTTCTGGAGGCCTGGTCTCTCACACCTACAACAGACGGTTGTACAGCTTGCACTCCCATGGAAAATGCACCCAGCATGCTTTGCACAGAGACACCTGAGGGCGGTGTTCTGGACCTGCACACACCTAGGGCTTCTTGTGTTCATGGCAGATGTTCAGGGTGCATGTTCTATGCCCTACTGCCCCCAACTAGGGACCAACGAGATGATGCAAGTAACAATTTCAATGCACAATTCATCACAAAAGCAAAGGCTAATGGCCATATGCTCAATCAATTATGTAACAATAAACACATCTTCTTTATTGGGACTTTTCTACCACATTATCTCAAAGGTTTTTTCTCTCATATTATGTTGTTTTGGGGGGCTGTTGCTGGGGACTGAATCCAGGACCTCCCCATGGATCTGCACCCCCAGCCTGCTTTGTTCATTTTTTATTTGGATACAGGGTCTTGCTAAGCTGTGTGGCTGCCCAGGCCAGGCTTGCCCCTGGGATCTCCCCTTTCAGCCCCCGGAGCGCTGGGATTGCAGCCGTGCACACCATGCCCAGCTTCCCCATCCTGAAAGCGCCTTAGCCACGCTAGCCAGGCCTGGACAAGAAGCTGCTGGAACCCATGGCCTGGAGAGATGGAAGTAGCCGCCCCAGGCAAAGTGGCATCTGCCCCCAGCATGGACTGGCTCCCAGGAGCAACAGCATAACAGAACCAGCGGCCACAAAAGGAAGAAGCATTCAGTCATGCAAGAACTACCTGGGTGAGGCTTTCCCCCAGTACTGAGAAATCCTAAGCATCTGCCCTGAGCTACACCAACCTGCAGCACCCTTAGCTCGCCTTATCTTGAGATAGGGTCTCAGAGTTGCGCGCTTCTGCCTCGGCTTCAGAACTCTGCTGGTCATACCTGCGAGGTACCAGATCTGGCCAAGACTTTTTCCCCCTGATTTTACTATTTCTTCTTTAAATGGTGGAGTTTGGCACAATGCTTACACTCCGCAGGGGGAGTGCTCACAGATAGGACTCATCTCAGCTCCTCCTTCACCGCCTTTCCTACACTGATTCCTTTCCTTCTACATCTCCACTCCCTCCATTTTTGTAAGAGACCACTCTCCCTGTCTCTAATCATCCAATTTTTATTTTGCTCTTTGTTTATATTTTGGGTTTCTGATATAAGAGAAACAGATATTTTAAGTGTGTGTGCCTGATTTATCTCACTGTTAAGGCCTCACGGGGCCCCTGTCTTCCCACAAACACCTCAAGTCTGTCCTTCTTTATGGCAGAGTAGTACTCCACTGTATATAAATCTCAGTTTTGATCCATTCATCTATACCAATGGACATCTAGGTTGTTTCCAAGATTCAACTACGACGAGTGGTGCTGCTCTAAACACAGGTGTGTGTGGATCTTTATAACATGTCTTTTTTTATTTTATTTATTTATTTTTTGGCAGAACCAGAGGTTTTATAACATGTCTTTAACTCTTGGGAAGATACTCAGAAGCAGAATAACTTGGGACAAAACAGAATTTCTAGTTATAGCTTTTGAGGAATCTCCTTGCTGACTTCTGTGGTGGCTGCCTAGTTCACCTGCCCACCACAAAAGGGTTTCTCATAAAGGCAGTACTGCTCATTGAAAAGAACCTTTACTCACAGGGGCCTACTCATTCACACCAGGAAAAGCTGGCTGATGTGTGAAGGTGTTCTTTTTACGCTCTTGCAACTTTTCTGTAAGTTTGAAATTGCTTCCAAATGAAAGCTGTGCTTACTCCAAATCTACCACACAGTAGAACCTTGGTAGGAAAGCAAAAGCGACCTTAAGCATCCACAGCATAAAACTCCCCACTGGTGAAGGAAGCGCGGGGCGCCCCGGGCGCAGCTCCCCGGGAATGTCCTGCAGCTGACAGCGCACTGAGCACATGGGAGGCTTCAACAGCAAGACAGAAACAGGGCGGAAGTGGGGGGCCGAGACAGGGAGCGGGTAAGCAGGCAGGCATGTCCAGGCCTCGCACCGGCTTCCCATAAGTGCCAGCACCATGCACTGCAAACACAGGCCAACAACAAATAAATAAATAATAAATAAATAAATAAGAGAAGTCCCAGGTGATGTAAAGAGCTCCCAGCAACACATTTGTGCTACACTCTAAAAAAAATTATCCTACTTACAATTTTAATGAAGACCTCATTTCCAAACCCTCAACACTAGTGCAGCCAACAATCTTTCTGAACATAGCTTACTGCTTCCAGAAGGAAAGTTACCAGGCAAGAATTCTGTAATCTCCCTCCTCTGTACAGACGGCGTTTCCCTGCAGATACACTGACTTTATCTTCTTGACCTGCCGACCTCCTCAAGTGGCCCTTCTACCATCTCAGCCTCAAGCCCAGTCTAAAAGGAGGCGACTGAGCGAGCAGGGTGACTCTCCCCTGGTTTTGGATGTGCGGACTCCCGTACTTTCCTATGCAGTGTTCAGATTTATGTTAACAACATCGGGGATCTTCACTTCCAAAGCACATCTCTTTGAAAGCAAAGCCTGGATCAATCTGTGTCTCATTTTCCAGCAATGGCTCCTCATCAGACTTGAGTAGGAGCTCCTCAGAAGGAGGAGATGCGGATTACAGCAAGAGGCTCCTTTTGCCTTACCTGTCGGGGCCGCTCTCAGGATCAAGAGGGATGCGTTGGTCTGACGGGCAATCCTTCCTGCTCTCTCCTCAAATCTGTGTGCTGCATTTTTCAGTTCACTCAGCTTCAATGCAAGACCTGTTTAAAGAGAAGTCCTCGCTTTTAGGTTAACTTGCTAATATGTTGCCTAGGCAACAGCTCGGTCATTCCCAACCTGCCTTCAGAATCAATAGCTTCTGCAGACAACCAGTCCCGAAAGGTTTTCCAGGAAGACAGCACCACTCGCTACAGAGATTGCGGTGCACCTTTGGCTCCCTGAGCACTTTTCCACTTTGCTTGTGATCTTTCTCACTGGTTTCTTCTTAAATTTCATGTCCAAGACTGTCAGAGCTGGGGTGAAATGCATTTGCAAAGCCCAGTCCCCGTGGACACTTGTCACTCCCATCGCACCTGGTCTGGGCCATTTCCTCCTCTGGGCTGTGGGCTCCTTGGGAACTCGTCCACTGGTTCCCCTCCTGCCCGGGGAAGCCCTCAGAGCCCCCCATTCCCTTTGACCCCCAGGATTCAGCTGCCTTCCAGTTGAATCAGCACTATTTGATCAAAGTTTCTGTCCCTAACCCTCGATCCCATCTGAATTTTGAGCTAAAATATGAATTCTGATTGTCAGGACTTGGAACCCATCTAAAAGGGCAGGAGCTGTGTGCGCGGCTCCCTGTTCACCCCAGTGTTTCTGATTCAGTAGACCACAGAAAGGCAGCAGGCGCAAGGAGAGGCAGGAGGCTGCACCAAGTCAGCGCTCTCGGGCCACGGCTGTCACGGCCACTCTGTATCACGCTCACGGGATGGCTCTCACCCAGGGCAAGCAACTGCTTTCTGAGCCTTCAGATCAGCTAAATGGCATGGGCATTTCTGAAGTGGACAGATGAATCAGGACAACTCAGTAATGACTTGACGAGCACCTAGAAGAGTCTCACTCATGGCTGGAGGAGAGCAGACACGGCACTGAACACAACACAGCCTTCAAGGAACCCGGAAATAATTAGGGCTCAGCAGAAGGTCGCCTGGGTTGACAGGTCACTCAACAAACACGGGAGGAACAGAGCAAGGCCTGAGCTCGGGCAAGGAGAGGAGGACTTGGTCACCACCGGTTAGACCAGCGTGCACCTCCCAGTGGGCGCTGCCTGTACCCGCAGCTCACAAGGTGAGAAACTAGAATGCCCCTGGGACAGAGGGCAGCTAAGCCTGGACCAGCTCTGGGGAAGGAGCAGTGTTGGGGCACAGAGACGTGCTCTCCCGGGCTCCCTGCCTCCGGATCCGCTATGTACCCACCTTGCTGCTTCCTGCTCAGGCTGCTGCTGTTGCTCAGGAACCTGGAAGTGCGCTGCGTAGCCACCTTGGCGCCGGACACCAGGGACTCTGAGGCCTGAGAGAGAGAAGGGTTAAACACGGGGGCCACAGGACTGTGCAATCCTGCGGGGACAGAGAGCAGCTCCTGAGATGGTCACCGCCGAGCTCCAGGAAGAGCGCCTGCAAGGGACAGGCAGGGAGGAGCAGGAGCACAATGACCTTTGTATGTGAACAAAGGACCCAGCCATCAGAAAGGGGTTTCCACCCCGAGTAGAGCAACATCTCAAGTGGAATTCAGGCAGCACCAGCATTCTTATCTTGAGAAACTATGACTTTTCCTCATCTCTTCACTACTAGGTTTTCGTCTCTGTGAAGAGTATTTATGACTAAAAACATTCAGGGGACCGGGCGTGATCGTGTGTACCTGAGGGCTCAGACACTGGCAAGGCTGAGGCAGGATGATCGCTTGAGTGCCCAGGGTTTCAAGGCCAGCCTGGGCAACACAGTGAGACCATGTGTTTCGAAGACAAATTTAAAATGTACAACACATGATGACAGATGCCATGAACAGACTGAACTAGAAAAGAACACGGAGGAGTGTATACTCGGGGTGCAGTGTTGGGGTGCCTTCCTGCAGTGAAGCAGCAGAGTGTGCGCTCCTGGAGCCCCCACCTCTTACCAGCCTCGCCTCCCTTGCGGTCTCCCGCGCAGCGCTGGCCAGGCTCTCGGATTCTCCCACCAGGCTCTGGATGTTGGAGTGGACGTGCACGGCGCTGGTCGCATTCAGGGACATATGTCTGACGTTTTCAAGGCCACTACCAAATCAACATATTCAGAGATGCTGTGATAAACTGCATCGAATCTGCAGATTCCCTCCGCATCACAAGCACCTGCAAGTGAAACCCTAGTGCAGCTGCGAAGAGCACCACGCTGTGGCTTTCCTCCTAAAGCTACAAGGCACTGTGCTGTAGGACACACAGCGTCGCCCTTGGCTGCTGAAGGGAGAGGCTACTGCTGTCTTCCTTTTCATGGCCTTCGGAGGTTGCAGGCCGTGACCCCTGACCTGCCCACCCCCGCACAGGTGCTCTGAGCTCCGCTGCAGCACGCCTGCTGATTCCTGCACTCACACTTGGCGCTGGCTCCCCTGCCGGGATGGCATAGCCCAGAGGGCAAAGTGTGCTGGAGAGGTGCTGGGAGGCCCAGAGAAGCCCGGCGCCAGCTGGGCAAGGCCCGGCTGTCAGCTGGTACCAGCACAGTGCCACTGTGCTCTCCCTGTCTGCAGGATGAAACCTGACGACCAGCACAACTTCACCGGCTATGAAACTGACTTCATTTCTTCTCCAAAGTTACTGAGAGGGACAATCCCCACCCCATGGCTGCTACTGCTATGACTGACAGGCAAGATCTGACATTTCGAAAGTAAAAGATAATCATTTCATCTACCTTCAGGTAGCCTGCCAAGCTCGCCTCACCACCCTACACTAAGTAAGAAAGATTTTCTTCTAGCTAGGGAGTCCGAGTCTTTTCCTGTTTTGAAAAGCAAAGAACGGTGGTTAGAAAGAAACTGGGTATCTAATTCCATCTGCTATCACAGTTCCCGGCCCGGGGGGGTGGGGGGGGGCTAGCATTTAGTTCAGCACATCACTGACACAACAGGCCGCCGGGTATCACTTTTCATTTCTTCTGTGGTGGGAGCTAATACTTAATGGCTGTGTTTCTCAAATGGGGAGATGTTTTTCCCATGGACAGAACGCCCAACACAAACATGCACTCGTTTCACAGGGTATCTGGACTTTTTGCATCCACTGTTTGGACCAAATTTTAAAGAAATAAATTTACAAATTTTTTTTTTCTTTCTTTTTTTTTTTTTTTGTGGTACTGGGGATTGAACTCAGGACCTTGTGCTTGCAGGCAAGCACTTATTCTACTGAGCTATCTCCCAGGCCCCTGGACCAAATTTTAAAGAACTAAATTTACACATTAATACCCTATGCTCGGGCTGGAGAGATGGCTCAGTGGTCTAAAGCACCTACTTGAAACAAGCTTGGCAAAGCACAGGGACCACGGTTCGATCCCCAGCACCACATGCCAGCCAGCCTCGCCCCCTGGTGGGCTGAGCTGGCCACACACACACACACACAATAAATAAATGTAATAAATAAAAATAAATATTAAAAAAAAGGTGAAAATACCCTATGCTGTGAAAATCATTGATGAGACCTGAAACACTGGTTCCTACAGTTTCTGTGTATTAAAATCACCTGGACATCTTTAGAAAAGTGACAAAGCCCAGGCCACATTCTAGATCACCGACATTACAACCTTGAGGGACAGAAGAGGAGGACAAAGGGATCAGTATTTTGTGAAGAGCTCCTGGTCAGTCTCATGAGCTTGTGAGCTTGTCCTCCACTGGCCTGAATGCATGTTCCATGTGTAAAGGTACTTGGGACACACTTAACTGATGCCCAAAATTAGAAGTTGACATGACTGTATTATAGTGGTGGGCCTTTAAACAGGAGAAAATCACTACAGGGGGACCTTCTGGGGCCGGAAAAGAGATGGACACTTCCATGAATAGGCAGGGGGCAGTCAGGTCTTTCATCTTAGTGGTCATCATGGTGGCAGATCTGAACCCCCATGCCACTCAGGAGACCTCCACTGAGCCACAGACAGCTTGCTTCATAGCCCATGATGTGTTTCAACCCTATCCAGGTCAGTGTGCATTTTTCCATAGTATATTTACGCAAGTGGTTAACTAGGTTAGTAGACACAGGAGCAAGTGACGTGATCGGGCTGTGTGAAGAAAGCAGGAGCCCTGCTCTCTGCAAAAGCGAGTGGCCTCACCTCTCCAGGAGGCCCGCTACGCCCTGGAGCTCGGCGGCGTGGTCCTCAGCTCTGTAGACCAGGTCCACCATTCTCCTCTTGGACATCTGCATGACCAGGTGGTCCACGTGGCTCCTGATCTTGGCCGCCCACAGGAACAGCTCATCGCGGTGCTGTTCCACGTGCTTCACAGAGGAATTAAAGCTCGTTGTGACACCCGAGCTCCGATCCAACAGGACGGGTGTGTGCAGGGTTCCTAGGAACCCAGGGGCCATCCCTGCTGGAACTTACTGCTGAAGTATTTTGTAAACTGTCTGCCTTGGCTGTGGCGGCATCCATCAGGCCCCTGCCCTCAGCGACCAGCTCTGAGGTTGTGTTCTGCTGTTCTAGAAGGCGCACCTTTCGGTCCTGCAGCAAACAATAACATTTTAAGGACACCTTGTGGGACCAAGTCAGCATCTCCAGCCACCCACCAAAGCTTATAGCGGAGCTGACTTGAGGAGAAGCTAAAGGGGACCCTCGTTCAGAGCGGTGGGTGGCCAGGTCCACCGAGAGAGGGGCGGGTGGGACTCACACTGAAGTCGCTCAGGTTGGCTTCGCTGAGGAGCAGCAGGCGCGCACTCTCCCGGGTCCTGGCCTGCGCCTCCCGCAGCAGCTCCTCTGCCGCCTGCAGCTCACTGTGGTGCTTTGCAAGGAGGCGCCTGGCTGCCTCCTTCAGCCCTTCCAGCTCATCCTGTGGCTGCTGCAAATCCTTCTCAACTGCAGACAGGACATCCTCAGCAGCCCTGACAAGGACAAACACTCCACACCGTGAGCCAGTGCACAGTGGGGAGCGCACGTCTGAGCTGGGAGGGGAAGGGGATTTTGAAGAGATATTCATGCAGGCCGAGTTCCCCTGAAATCCTGAGTGATGCATCCTCACCTCTTAGAGACACAAAGACCGTCAAAGACAGCTGCAGGAATAACAGGTTTATGCTTTATTTATTTACTTTGTATTTAGTACAGGGTCTACCTATGTGGATTGGACTCTTGGTGAGGCCTGGGTTCAGCCTCCCAAGCGCTGGGATTACAGGCGCGTGTCGCCACGCCCAGTCTCAGTCACAGTCTCAGTGCACGCCAGGGGCGGGGTGTCTGCCTAAGCAGGCACTTTAATCCACGGAACTATCTGGCAGGCCCTATGCTTTATTCTTAAACTATCTTCACACAAACTTATCAGGACTCAAAACCCTGGGACTACATTGTGTGTCAGGGATGGGAGCCACAGTTTTTCATTGAAATGTGGCAAGAAATGGAAAAAAGAAAGCCACTCGGTGTTTCCTGTGATTTACCAATTTCTTTATATAACAGAAAGGGTTTTTGGTGGTTGGGTAAGAAGCAGGTTTCATAGACGCTTTCAAGATTGCTTAAAAAAATGTATTAGTGCTATTACAAAAATTAATAATACAAGCTTCAGTAAACCAAAATATTTTTTTCCTATTCCTTTATATAAGTCATTAAATTTCATCCTTAAATCCATTTTGAATGTAGAGCTGCACAGAATAATGGCATCTCACAGTCCCTGCCATGCTTGGATCTATCCCACTGACTCTCCGCTTCAGGGTGCCAAAGAGCCCTTGAAACAGCCCTGAAAACTGCCCCATAAACCCCCCACTTCCACAGCACCAGAGCTCGGGCTAAAATACCGCAGACAGCGTTAGTCACCACAGGTCCTGGCCTGCTGACATCAGCAGAACAGTGTCGGGAGTTCCTCCCACTTTTACCACTTCCAACTCCAGTGAGGATGCTCGGTGAGAAGCAAGCAACAAAAGCTAAAGCAGAGCTGATGGGAACACAGACCTGAACTCTGAGTCTCTTTAAATAAAATCCCTCTCCCCCCGCTTGGTCCTAGGGAACGGACACATGGCTGTTCGCACGGGGACACATCATCCATCCCTTTTTATTGCTTTCCCACAGGATCTCAGTAAGTTGCTAAGCTTCTCCAGCAGAGTTCCAACTTGTGGTCCTCTTGCCTCAGCCTCCGAGAGTGTGGCACTTCAGGCCTCGGCCACCACGCCCGTCGGAAGGCTCCTTGGTTACAGTTCCACTTACAGACTGAGCAGAGAAGTCGGCGATCTGATTATCTGATCAGTGCCTTTACCCCAGAGAGAGAGAAGAGCAGCGGAGACTCCGAGCAAGAGGCTTGCGGGCCCGGCCGTGGAGGAGGGTTGGGGCACCCTTCTCTGAATTTACTCACCCCAAAGGCACCAGGAGCTCCCAGCTGGCAAAAGCCTGTTATCCTGTGTGTGCCCAGTGCCTAGGGCCACGTGTCTACTCTGGAAGACCCACATGCACTGAGCAGGGGCAGGTGACGGTGGGAGGCACCAGCCCCCAGGACTCCTGAGGGAGGACTGCTGTCCTCACAAGCTTCTCTCAGGTGGATTTGTGCCCTTCCAGAATGCTAGCTGGGGCACCCCTGCTCCAGTGTGGGGAGAAGGCCAGGCGTTCTCGCTGGGTGCTCAGGACACGTTCTGCGGACCTTTCCCCCTCCCGTGGGGGACACATCCCCCGTGCACTCCCAGCAGGCTCTGGGCCCTGACTGATGCTGACTGTCTCCAGCCCTCCAACTGCAGGCCCTCCTTCTGGGCCACACGGCAAAGCACAGCAGTGCAGCAACAATGTCCAGTGCCCAGAGATGCGCTCCCTACTCCAGTGCGTTGCTGGGGAAAGTGCACACTGTTTTCAAAAATAAATCGTAGAATCTGGGTGTGGTGGGGCATGCCTGGAATCCCAGACCACTGCAAGTTCGAGGCCATCCTGGGCTACAAAGTGAGTTCACGGCCAACCTAAACTGAATAGCGGGACCCTGTCTCAAAAAGACAAAGTAAATAAATAGATTGCTGAAAATAATTTGCATATGCATATCAGGAGTCCTCAAAAGGCAATTTCTTTGACTAAATGGTTCTACTTCCTCGTATCTACCCTGATAAGATAATGACCTGAAGTAATAGGAAAATCTGTCTGTCTGTCTGTCTGTCTCTATCTATCCTAAGTATGTAATTATTTGGTATTTACATGCAGAGATAAGCGGGAAAAATAGAAATAACTGCACCAGATGTCCACCCTTAACATCGCAAACAACAGATAGTTTAAATAAGTCACTAGACAGCACCTGCCTTGCAAGCATAAGGTCCTAAATTCATTCCTGGTACCAAAAAGAATTAAATGTGTCATCAGAAAGAACAGAGGTTCAGTCAAGTGCCATGTGGCTCAAACAGCCCTTGTTCAAGCACAACCTGGCAGAGGGACAACTCTTGCTATTATGTCACATAATAACTGTGGAATTACCAAGAAAAAGCCCGAGAGCAGCACCCCGCTCCCGGCAGCTGTGGAGACAGGCTCTGGGTCTGCCAGCTCACACCGTGGCTGCCGGTGAGGGCCCGTGATCGGAGCGCGAACCATCAGGTCTAGTGACTGTGTGTCTGGCCCCCAGCTTTCAGCCCCACTGTAGCTTCGCCTCTGAGGAGAGGCCTGCACGCGGCTCACAGGCACAGCACCACCAAGCTCTGCTGTCTGCAGCACCAGTTGAGAGTCACAGAGAAGCCCTGACCGACGGGCCACACCAACCGCATCCACGGGCAGGGGCAGTGCCGGCTGCTGATCTGACCCCCACCCTGGGGCGCCTTCGCCTCCTACGGTACCCCTCACCATGAGCTCCTTCTTCCCTCCCTCACCCCAGTGCCCAGTGCCCCAGCTCCACCCAGAGAAAGTGAACTCACTGGAGCTCCAGGGTGGCATTGCGGTGCAGGTCTGAGAATTGTCTTTTCCGCATAATCTCCAGGAAAGACACAATGCTTTGTCCCATGTCCTGAAGCGTCGAGTTGGGCAGCTGGAAATCATCGTCTAGAGTCTGATTTAAATTTGTGACCTTTTCAAGGATTTCTATGGAGAAAATTCACAATTCCTTAGTAAGCCCTGCAAAGGGGCCAGTGCCCAGGCTTTCCTACTGCCCTACTGTGTGCCCGCACTGGGCTTTCCCAGCACATGCCCATGAGCTGAGGCTGCCGGCTGACTTAGCTCCGTGTGCCAGCACCCAAGGGGCAGGACGGTGTGGCCACACCACTGCCTGCACACGAAGCTCCTGGATAAATGCAAGCTGCATGAGTAAACTATTCCTATTAAATACTTTGTGTTCTACTCCTCTCCTCCATCTTTGCCCTGCAACATCTGATCTGCCCCGGACGCCACGCTCTTTAAGCTCCAGCACTACAATCCCCCAAAAGGCCAGAGTGAGTTCCTGACAGCTAAGAGATGAACAATAGCTTGGGGAGGCCAGAGAGACCTGAAAGGAGCTAACAAATTACAAACACTGGTGTGTGTGTGGGTGCTCAGGGACCAAACTGAAGCCCCAAGTCCTGCGAGCTCCTACTTGGGGGACAGGGTGGGAGGGACCAGTCAACTTCACCATGGCTTGGAGAACAGGGTACAAATGCTAGGCATCCAAGAAGTATGAAGGAACTGTGTACTGTTTGAAAGAGAACCCCTTCCGCTAAGGACGTCAGCCTGGATCCTGCGGGCACCCCAAACTCAGGAGTGCTCCAGTCTTTGGCTCTAGGAAGCCCAGCACCAGCACACATAGCTGTTTGTGTGTTTAATCAAGGGACCGTAGTTCTTTCCACCAACCGAGCAGAATCCCCCAGACCCTCCCCTACCTCCGATGCTCCTCTGTAGCCGCTCAACAAACGCAGCCAGGTCTCGGCTTCCCTGGAGGATCTTCTCTGTGGCTCTGCCCACCTGCTGGCTTCGCGGGAGCATGCTTGCAAGCTGGTGGGAAGAGGCCTCGGGTCAGCCAGCCCTGAGACGGTACGCAAGCTCTAGGCTGCGCTGCTTCTTCTCCTGGGCAGCGGGAGCTGGGCTGGGGAGTAGCTCAGTGGCAAAGCCCTTGGCCTGGCTCTCACGTTCTGCATGCCAAGCACATGCAGCCCAGAACACATGGCAATGACATGTGTGTTGTCGTGGAAACCAAAGTGAGTACTTCTAGGTCAGAAACCCACCGAGAGCTTAATGAACTAACTGACTTCTCATTCAACAACAAGGGAAGACACAGGTTTTTTGTTTTTTTGTCTTTTTGAGACAGGGTCTCGCTGTGCAGTTCAGGTGGGCCTTGAGCTCACTTTGTACCCCAGTCTGGCCTCGAACTTGCAGGGATCCTCCCACCTCAGCCTCCCCAGTGCTGGGGCTGTGGGTGTGTGCCCCCATGCCAGGCAGTCACAGGACTTAGATAGGCAGCCTAGCTGACCCTCACAGCACAAAGCCTGCCCCGTTCTCCGCTGGAAGATCTTGGAAGTCAAGCGCAGTCCCACATTACTCAAGGGGCAGGGACGCATCCGGAGGAGACATTTGCAGATTATCTTGTCACTGTGCAAATGTCATAGTGTGCTTACACGCTCTGGATAGTGCAGACTGCGACCACACCGAGCTGTGAGCACGCAAGTGTGTCATGTATGTGCCTGTGTGCACACCAGACCCACACTGACAGGGCATCGCTTGCAGGGCCCAGGGCCACGATGAACAAAATCATCTGAGATTAAATCAAGCACCAGAGAAAGTGGAGCCTCTAGATAGCCCAAGGGCAAGAGAGGTAATGGGCTGAAGGCACAAGAGGAGCACTCTCCAACAGTGGGGGAAGCTTCGCTCTATAAGTACACTGCCCAGACTCGGAGCCATTTGTGACTGTCAAGGTTTGTGTCTAGGTGTCCCCGCAAAGCCTTATGCAGTCCTGGGGCGGACTTCTAGTGATTAACTCATGGTCCACTGGGATTATGGGTGTGAGGGCTACACCCAGTCTGGGGCAGGGAGCCTGAAGGCAATACAGGGAGGCGAGAGACTCGCTCTCTGTAGCCACTGTTGCTGTCACTCCCCCCCTTCTGCTCTTGCTGTTTTGCTGCCTTCTGCCACCATGAGCTGCTGCCCTCTGCCATGTGCCGCTCTGCCCTGGAGCCAGCTGAGTATGGACTGAAACCTCCAGCAACTGTGAGCTTTAAATAAACCTTTCCTTCCTTCATTTCAAGAGTCAGGTATTTGTCCCAGCAACGAGAGAAGAGCAACGGAGACGATGACCATCTCCAGACGTTTCCATGCACCTGGCAGCCGGGTGAAGTCCTTACCCAGCATCACCACGAACACGAGGAGAGGCGTGAGCTACAATCGGAGGCCAGCTGGGGTATCAGTAGGCACTGAGCCTCTCAGAAGCCCATAGGATTACTGGATGGCCACAAAGGCCCAAGCAGGACTACACAGGACACATCGCCCACCCTCAGCATCAGCACAGCTGGGAGGACAGAGTCCCCAGAGCTCGAGCAGGGAGTCGGGCACCCGGCTGTGCACCTGGCTCCACCAGGCAGTGGCGCTGGGCATCTCCGCAGCCATGGCTGAAAGAGGCCGGGGGAGCACAGGTGCTTAAGAAGGTGACTGGGAGCAGCTGCCCACAAAGCCTGCAGCCTGCAGGCAGAGACCCAGCTGCCCTTAGCTGGTACGTTCATTGGGAATTTTGTAACTGGCAAAGGGAACAGTACTTCTTTTCTTTTTAAAATTTATGTATTTAATTTTCTTTTAAATTTTTCTTTATTCCTTTTATTTATTTATTTTATGTATGTGCTGGGAAAGACACACAGATACTGTCTGTGGGCAGAGGGAGCTCCAGAGCAAGGGAGCTCAGCGGCACCTTGTAGTCTTTTTTTTTAATGCATATTGAGTCTTGGCCTTCAGGTTAACAAAACATAGATAGGACACCTACTGATCCTCCTGTTTTCAGCCTCCCAAGTGCTGGGATTACAGGCTCGCGCCACCACGCCCAGCCTCAATCGGGCCATCTCAGTACGCCCAAGCGGTATGGCTGGCATGGCAGGCCAGGGATCGAACCCCAGCGGCTGCACTCTGCCTAAGCACGCGCTTTAGTTTGCTATCTAGCTGCCCTCTTTTTTAATTTTAAAAACAATAAAAATAATATATAATTTCAAGACAAGATGTAGGAAATTAACAATGGTTATTATATTATATATTGTTATCTTCAAAGTAGCTGCTCAGATTAGCAGGTACAGGCATATAAGATTGGTTAAACATTACAAACAGTAACTGTTCCTTTCAATGAACTAATACAAGTCAGTGGTACAATTATCTTAGCTATATCTATCTCTATCTATCTATCTATCTATCTATCCATCTGTCTATCCATCTATCACTTCTTTTTTCCTTTTCCCACCCAAGTTATTTTCTCTGTTTTGAGCAGTTTCTTTCCCTTTCACAGTGTCTATTGTATCTTTGGTATTTAACTTTCAGTTTCTCGCACTAGGGAGACAATGCGATGTTTACACGTGCGAGCCTGCTATATTTCACTTAAGAGTATGATCTCTAGTTGCCTCCATTTACCTATAAAAGCTTCAAGTTTATCTTCCTTTATAGCTGAGTAATACTCCATTGTATAGGAATATGACATCTTAGGGGCGGCAAGAGAGCTCGGTGGACTAAGCACCTGCTCAGGCAAGCACAGGGCATCTCTGGCATCACTCGCCCCGCTGGCCCTGCCCTGGATGTGCTGAGCCAGCCACTGAGACCAGGGACCGGGTGTGGTGGTACACACCTGTAATCTGGCACTGGGGAGGCTGAAACAGGAGGAAGGATGACTAGGAGTCCAGGCTGCGTAGTTAGAGTTGTACCAAATACATAAACAAATGAACAAACAAACCCACATTTTAAAAATCTATTTCTTGGTTGATGGGCATTTCTGGTTATTTCAAAGATTTAGTTATTATAAATTGTGCTGCTACAAATCTGGGTGCACATGTATTGTTGGGGTATGTTCTGAGTTCTGGGAAAATACCCAGCAGGGAAATGGCTGGATTGAATGAGACCTCTTATCCTAGTTTTTTGAGGAAATCGCCACATTGATTTTTGCAATGGTTCTCCCAGTCTACACACTCATTAGTGCTGGAAAAGACTCATGGACGCTGGCCACAAAAAAAGACACAGGGACACTCAATGCAAGCCAAGTGTCTCCTGCTGGGAAAGACACACAGATACTGTTGGTGGTCAAAGGGAGCCCCAGAGTGAAAGAGCTCAGCGCTGCCTTGTGATCTTTTTTTTTTTAATGTATATTGAGTCTCGGCCTTTAGGTTACTTCTAGTTAACAAAACCAAACCTTACCATGTGTGCCTAAGATTAATATTTAAGCTGTACGTGACATGCAGCTGCTAGGCATCTGGGAACAGGGACATGGAAACAGGATGCCCTCCAGGAGCTCCAAGGGTTCTTTGTTACTCACTCTGCTGTGGGGGTCCCGTTTTCCTCTTCCCATCTCACTGCCTTGCGGTGAGTCCGCATGTCTCCATTTTAACTCCCTCTTAACCCAACACTACAACAGTGGAGAATGGTTCCTTTTCCCCACAGCCCCTCCAGCATTTGTTATTAATTAAATTTCTTTCTTTCTTTTTTCACGGTACCGGGATTGAACTCAGGACCTTGCGCTTGCTAGGCAGGCACTTATTCTACTGAGCTATCTGCCTGGCCTAGTTAAATTTCTTGATGATAGCCATTCTTTCTCAGGTCAGATGAAATCTAAGTGTTGTTTTAACTTGCATGTCTCAAATGACCAATGATGTTGAACATTTTTCATATATTTATTTGCCAGGCATATTTCATCTGAGAAGCATATATTCATCTCAGATGTTCATTTTTTGACTGAGCCTTTGAATTTTGCAGGCCTGATATTTTAAAAAACACTTTGTATGTTTTAGATAGAAGTGCTTTGACTGACATTCGGCTAAGATTTTTTCCCAATTTGTTTTACTCTGTTGGTGTTTCGATAAGATGTGACCCCTGTTGTTACTTATTTGAAGTATTTCCCGTGCAGTTTGGTTTTTGTTCATGAACTCTCCGCCTACTCCTACGTCTTCAAGATTTCCACTTATTTTCACCTCCAGTAGATTTAGTGTTTCTATTTTAATATTGGGATCTTTGTTCCATTTTGATGGTAGTTTGGTGCCTGGTGATAGACATGGGTCTAGCTTGAGTCTTCAACATGTGGGGAGCCAGCACCACTTCTTAGAGAGGCTGTCTTCCTTCCAGGGAACATGCTGGCCTGTCTGTCAAAGACAAGGTTGCTAGGTGTGTTTGGAGTTGTGTCCGTATCCTCTGACCTGAGGAAATGGTTCTTTACCTTTCCAAAAATATAGCACTCAGACCAGGTTTAGGGGTGTTCTCTACTCAAGCCCACAGAAGCTTTCTCTCCCCACACAAGGAGCTGACTAATCAGCTTCTCCCTTCACGCCCAACATTTGCTTCAAGAAAAGCCCCACCTAAGCCCGCCAGCTCTTCTCAAACCTTCATGAATCCTAAATTGACCCCAGCCAGCGAATGCTGGCCTTCAGAGCATGAGGCTGTCTGTGCCATTTGTAAGCGACAGCTGTAAGTCTGACCATGGGAACCTCCCCAGGCGCACGTGGGCTGACTCTGGGATCACTAAAAGCTATTTGTCTGGCACTACCCAAACAGGACCAGGAATTCACCGCTGTCAAGCCTCCCTTAGCAGGTGCTAAGATCAGAATCGTCCAGCCCGAAGCCGAGTGGGGTGGAGGCCGCGCGCACACAAGGAGCTGCTCGGGGAGCTGCCCTGCCTGCTCAGCCTCGGAGCCTCACTGCAGTCCTCGAATCCCACCAGCCCCAGGGGCTCAGAGAAGACAGGGAGTCAAGCCGCAAGCAAGGGTCCCAGAGACAGACACAGAATTCAACCAGGACTTTCCTACCAAGCCTCGGAAGCCACGAGGTGACACAGCTGCTGCTCTGAGGGACGCCGCTCCTCACCTGGTCCTGCAGGTCGTCCACTTGCCTTGCAACAACGTCAAGCTGGATTTCTGCTGAATTCTCTGGAGACTTTTCTTTTAATACAGATTCCTAAGAAGAGCAAAGGGAATGCTGTGGTGCTTTCAAGTGCAATGTTTTTCTTCTCAAAGAATCACCTGCTTTCTTTTTTGTTCACAAAAATAATCCTTGTCTTGAAGCTGTCTCGTAAAAACCGCAAGTCACCTCCCCGAAGCTTCATTCTCAGCTTCATGGTGCACACCGCCACCTTCTTTTTTTAAAATGAATTTAGTATAGGATCTACAGGGACTACAGGGACTACAGGGTCTCACTACGTAGCTGGAACTTGTAGTGATCCTCCTGTATTCAACCTCCCATGTGCTGGGATTACAGGCGTGCACCACCATGCCCAGTCTCAATCGTGTTCTCAGTGCACCCCGGGGGCAGGGCCGGCACAGCAGGCCCAGGCATCGAACCCTGGCCCCTGCGCTCTGCGTAAGCAGGTGCTTTAGTCCGCTGAGCTATCTGGCTGGCCCTTCACACTGCCACGATCGCCAAGTTTTTTTAAATGCTTACTAAGCTACAATTCAAGAACAACGTGTGCAGTAAGGAAAAGCCTTCATCAGTGTTAAAAAGGAAACTGTTACACTGTATCACCACTTTATTTACCTGTGTGACTGACCCCTACAGCAACTCCCTGTGAGTCACTCACCAAGATCAGCAAATTGGCAAATACTGACAAACAATTACATAACAAGTCACATGAAGACGGGTTGATAGGTTTGAATTAGAGGAAGTCATTCATGATTAGTTAACACTGAAATCAGGCATGGTTTCACTTGATAAATTTAAAACAGTTCCATACCTGGGGCCCAAACTAGCAGAGAACAAAAATTCACTGTGTGCATAAAGGTTAGAAATTTAAGTCTTTTTTTCTTTTACATGTTAATGGAGGGAGAAGTTACTAGCCTTCAAAAGAGTTCCCTAGCCCAGCCAGGCTTGGAGGCCCGCGCCTGCCATCCCACCATTTGGGAGGCTGACACTGGAGGGTTACCACGAGTTCAAGGCCAGCTTGGGCTACAAAGTGAGACCTTGTCTCAAGAAACAGAAATAAAACACCAAACCAAAACAAAACTCCACACACCTACACACAAAGGCGTTCTCCAGCCTTTCTTTCCTAGCCACAGAGAAAGGCTAAAGCAGAATGGATCCCCAAACCAGGCCCCTCGGACGCCGAGGGACCCAGGAGTCTGGACAGGCTCTTATCGGGCAACGGCTGTGTTTATCTCTCACCTAGCGCACAGCCACAAAGCGCAGCTGGAGCACTGGCCGTCTTTTCTGGAAGTGCCCAGCAGGCGCCGCGCATTGTCGCAGGCTCCTGGGCTGCTTTTGCTTTTCACCAGGCCTCTTAAAGAGGTGTCAGTGCTGGCTTCACCGGCAGAGGTGCGCAATCTCCTGGAGGAGGAGAGCGCTCAGGCCTTGGGAGACAGCAAGTGGCTTCATGGGAAGCAACAAGGGATGCTGTCCTGAGGAGCTGCACCATGCCAGGACAGCTGCCCTTCTAGCACGAGAGGCTTCGCCCAGAGGAGCCTGTGGGTGCACTGGCCCTCGGCATCCCGCTGCCACAGGGACACAGCTGAGAGACCATAAGGTCCCAGTTGCTGGCCCCTCAAGGCAAGGCTGTGTACCACTCTTGGGGCAGGTAGGAGGGTGGTGGCCCCCACCCTGAAGGACTCCCACCACCCCAGGGACTTGCTTGTCTTCCTGTACCTACCCAGAGACATCTAGTTGTATTTTCCAGGTCTGACAAAACTCCGTATGGGGCAGGGAAAATCCCAGTGAGGTTCACAGAGAGAATGACATCGCCAGCGCGGTCCAGGTCCCCCAGGAGCACACCCACACACTCATCATCGCAGGCTGGGAGAGAAGCAGAGAGCGTTATGGCTGCGGGAAGGCGGTTCTGTGTCCCTGAGCACGGGAGCCACTACACTGAGCTAACCGAGGTGCCACAGAGCACGCCTGTGCCCAGTGCCATCCGGTCTCACTTGGCTGTGGCGGGTGGTCTGGCACCAGGGCTGAGCATCCCTTCTTATGTGGGTACACTGAGGCTCAGCTCAAAGCAGAGCATTTCTGAGGTTATGCAGAAAGGAGCGGCCGAGCCCACACGTGGCCTCGAGTGGTGTGGCCTTCATAGCGCCCTTGCCCATCTTCCACGCAGACCAACTGCAAAGAATTCTCACTGAAGCCCAGCTGGGCCCTTCCCACCTGAGTGTGCAAGGTCAAGGGAAGAACACAGAAAAAACAGCAGGGAGACTTCACTTACAACAAACACAAAAAAGCAAAACAGCTCTCAGCACGTGGTCTGCATCCCTTCCTCCGTCTACACCCCACCCACCCATCCACCCACTTCGGCCGAGCCCACACATGGCCTTGGGTGGTGTGGCCTTCACATCGCCCTTGCCCATCTTCCACGCAGACCAACTGCAAAGAAGGCCAACAGTGACTCCCAAGGCGCTGATGTCTTGCATTTGCTGGTGAGGTGAACCAGCACTAGAAAACCCAACAAGACAGCCTGTAGCTGTGGTCAACCGGCTAACACCAGGGACCCATGGGGGTGCTCTTCTCTGTGCTGACTGGTCCTGGGCTCCCCAGAAAAACAACGAATGCAGCTCAGGGTGAAAGTCCCAGACTGCTCTGCGGGCCGGAGACATCAGCAGCAGCATCGGAGGCCCTCCCGCCCCAGCCTGCAAAGGACTGACTAAGGTTTGGCTTAATGACAGATGCAACCACAGTCTATGCCCAGTTACAGTAACAAAGTGAAACATAGAATCAAGCAAGACAAGCAGGCGGAAGGGACTCAGCCCTCCTTAGCAAGGGAAGCATCCCAGAGGGAACCCCCACTTTAACCCTGCAGAGAAGAGACACCCACAAACACAGGTGCTGTCCACGAGCAGGTGCCTTGGCTGGCAGCTGTCACATCGCAGCCCCGTGGCACCCGGCTTGCAAGCACACTGTCCGGACAGGGAGTCGCAGTCCCCATGCACGGAGCCCTGGGGGCTACAAGCGCACTTTCGGCAGTGGCCACCCGAGGCTCCAGGGTTCCCGTAGTAGCCCACAGAGCACCTGTGGAAAGACACGGGGTACAGATATTAGGGCCAGACAGTATGCTCCACGCCAGCCCACCCGGGACGTCGTTATCCCTGCAGGGCGGACACAGAACCCACACTCTGCCCAAGGGCGACCTGGCTTGGGGACAGCCATGAGGCCCGCACCAACTGAGCACATACAAATCGATAGTGACTCCGCTGTGGATACGTCTGAGATGTTACAAAACACCGCAGGGTCTCCCTGTGACAAGTCCCTCAGCGTACCTTTCACAATACCGGCCTTCGTAGCCCACAGCACAGGCACTGCACCGGAAGCCTCCGTCAACTTCCGCAACACAGGTGGGACTGAAACTGGAAGAAGAGAGTTTTGTCCTTGGATTTGGAGATACACAACTTCAAAATTTTCTTCAGATGCTTATCTACTGCTTCAGGGGTTCTGAAGTTAAGCAATGACGCTGGATGACTGGAGCAGCTTGGGCCCTGAGACGAGACATCCACTCTGCGCGTGCAGGCGAGTATCTCGGTGGCACTGTCCACGGGAACTGGGGTTACAAGTCAAAATGTATATATGCATTTAATTTTTTTTTTTAAATAAATGCCTTGGGGGCCTGCCCATTAGCTCAGAAGTTTAAGCGCCTGCTGAAACAGAGCAGGCAGGCTCAGGATGCTGTGCTTCGATTCCCTCATCCTCAAGCCAAGCCAGACCTGCCCTGAAGGCATCCTGAGCGGCCAAAAACAAAACCAAAAAATCCTTCTGCCATTTTTTGGGGGGCTGGAGAGATGGCTCAGTAGAATAAGCGCTTGCCTGGCAAGTGCAAGGGTCTGAGTTCAATCCCCAGTTTCACCAATAAATAAATAAATAAATAAATAAATACAAGCCTGGGGCTGGCAAGATAGTTCAGTGGACTAAAGCGCCAGCTTAGGCAAGCACAGAGACCATGGTTCAATTCCCAGCACCACACGCTGTGCCAGCCCCACCCCAAAGCGGGCTGAGCCAGCCAGAGTGTGGGCATCGTGGCACATGCCCATAATACCAGCGTCGGGGAGTCTGAAAGCAGGAGGATCACTGAGAGTCCAAGCTGTGTAGTGAGACCTTGCAACAACCAAATACACTGAAGAAGAAAAAAAAAAAAAAAAAGAAGTAACACAACAAATTTCAGGGTGGTTGGTAATTTACAAGGGACGTTAATGTAATTCCTCTCACTTCATTCTCAGGATCAAACACTGCTTACTTGGGGAGACAAAAAAAGCTTTAAACAAATATTAGAAAGAAAGCCTTACTTTAGGCCACCAATTTCAGCATCTGATCTGTGCTCGATGCCTTTGCCATTCATTGCGCTAAGTAACAGTACGCTATTTATGCATAACAATCTTCATCTGAACAATGGAAAACCCACTGACGTTTTACTTCATGCCACAACCTCTGGCTGCTTTGCATTCCTCTAATTCTATGCAAGCATCCTGCGCAGTGGCAGACACCAGCCTGATGTGTCACCAGGTGGCTCTCCCACACCTTAAGGTTACCACTCCATAGAGATTCTAAGCTTTTTCCCTTCAATGAAGCAGAAACTGGATCCTTTTGTGTCATTAATCACAAAGTTAGTAACCATTCCTCCATTCGTCCGTACGCAGACTGGATACATAGCTGGGGGCTAACAGGAATCTTCAGTTGCATTTTGAAAAGCTTCCCTGAAGGAGTGCTTCTCCTAAAGCCAGCTGGGTCCACAGGAGGGCACTGAGCAGCAGAGGGCCTGGGGTGACGCTGCAGAGGGTAAGCCGGGCGGCACCTGCACTCTCACCTGGCAGGGTGGTGACGGGGACAGGCGCAGGGGGCGCAGTCGTGGGCCTTGCCGGTCACCATCCCGTAGTAGCCAGGAGCACACAGCTCGCAGTGGTCCCCAGCTGTGTTATCCCTGCAGTTCTGCAGTTTGGAGGTGCAAAAGAGAGAGAAACAGGGGGACACGGTTAGAAGGAAGTCGCGCGGCCGGGTGCCAGCTCAGTGTGCCACATGCCTTCCTTTTTCCCAATTCTCCAGGAAGGAGGGCGCTTCTTCTTTATGTTCCTGGAAGCCAGCCGGCTCTGTGGCCTTCACTCTTCCCAAGACCGCATTCGCCCAGCATAGCCCAGACATGGGCAGCGCGCTCTTCCAAGGAAAGCAGATGCAGGGCGCACAGCGGAAGGCGTTCAGAGCTGCAAAGTGCAGATCTAAAACAAACGGTGACTGGAGAAGCGGCGCCAAGCGCTACCCGGCTTCAAGGATCACCGGTGGGGAGTGGGGGTGGCAGACTTAGGAAGCAGGCAGGAAGAGAGCGCATGGTGAGCGCACCCCCAAGATTACGGGGAGGCCGACGGCTTCCACTGGACCTGGGGTCCTGCTATTAGAGACAGCAGGTTCTAAACTCCGTGACCACGGGACTGGCACGGGGTGATGGCTCGGAATCCTCTCAAGCTCGGTGCGTCATGGTACATCTGAGGTTACGGGCAGGCCGGAGGCCACAGCCCTGAGCCAGCCCCGACTGCCCACCTTCCTTTCCTCCCGGGCAGCAAGGACAGAGAGGAAGCCTCTGGGAATGTGTAAAATGCAACGCTGAAAGTTTCTTTTATATATATGTGTGTATATAAAAAAAGCCCAGTACTTTTCTTCTTCAACTTGCGCTCCTACTGCCGCTGATGCAAAGCCATTTCCCTGGGATCCACACGGCCCCGCAAAGGGACACAGCTTTGAAAGTGACATGCGGCCTCCTCTTTAAGAAACTGTAGGATGCTCATTTTCCAACACAGCCCAGAGCTGACAGGGAACTCGCGTTAGGGAGGATGGAAGTGGAGTTCCAGCTTTGCCGAGGCTGATGTCCACTGTGTGGAGTGCCCCCCATAATGGTTGCTGGGTTTCCTGACTCCCACCCTAGAGAACAGAGGCCCTGCTGCCCCAGTGAGTGGTGGAGAAGCAGGGAGTGACCGGGGTGCAGGATGCACCCCACATGCCTGCCAACATCTCTGCCACATACGAAGGCTCGGCTACATCTCTAACACGGGAATGGTAGGGGGCAGACACAGCAGAAGGGACTCCAGGCCAGCTTCCTGCTCCTTGATCCTTCCCTTCCGGGTCATATCTAAACCAATAGCTTTCTAATAACACCAAAGGCCCACTGACACAAAGGAGGGGGACTATTTTACTGACAGAATCAGACCCTTGGACATTCTTGTGCCAACCTCCAAAATGACCAGGTAGGTCGGATCTAAGGGTCCTGCTTCTAGGAATGATCAGAGCTGAGCGGCCCTGGGGTGCGTGCCCCACCTTCGGAGGTATACGTCTGTGTACACAGGATCACCACTCCAGGTGGATGTTACTGGAATTTAAGATGCAAAAGGGTTTGGATAAGACCTGAAGACACTGCAAGCCAGAGACCCCATGGTCTATGACTAGACAAGAGTGTCTGTGTGGAACGGGCACTGGCTACAGGGACTGGCGATAAATGGTCACCGTCCGTGCAGAAGTCACTAGAGACAAACGCAGAATGTAGATCTGCCAGGTGGAAGAGAAGCGGGCACCAGTGTGTGCTCTGCTCAAAGCTCAAGCCTGGAAGACAGCAGTCCTGGTGTGGCCTCCATGTCGGGTGCTCTGACGTGAGTGTGGCCTTTGTCAAGACAGCCACATTCAACTAACGGGCAGGGGCAGCATTCAGCAGCCTGCTGCCCCCGAGGCCCCATGAATTCCTGCCTCTGTTTACCCCAGGGAGACTGCTTTTGAGGTCACGTCCTGGGTTAAGCAAGCTGTGTCACCTCTAACACATGCATCAAGACTGGTGACCTGGTAATTTCCTTCCTATAGACTTGGGCCATGAAAGGTAAGGCGGTGACTCAGGGTCCTCGGAGGAACTCCTCTTGTTACAGCTCCTACACTGAAGAAAAGGTGAAGCAGGGAAGAGCCAATGACACCTCCATCATTGTGACCTCAGTGGCCACAAAGAGGCCAAGGCACCCATACATTCCATCTAATTCTGTCTCATCTGGTGCCCGAAATCCTCACATCCTTACACGAGCCTTCCTCTGCCTCCGCTAGGCCTTGTTTTCCTGGAGCGCGATCCAATGAGAACAAAACGCCTGACCACATCGCAGCCACGTGGGCTCACACAGCCCAGCGCCCCTCCCTGCAGGACCAAGGCTTCCCTGCTTGCAGGGAGCAGTCAGCAGGCCCTCCTGCGTGCCTTGGTCACAGCGAAGACGGAGCAGCGCTCGCCCCTAACGTGTGCACATCCGTTTGTTTCTGCTCCATGGGCCAGGCAGGCTGGAGCCTGGATTCAGTCAGTCCCCGTGACAGGGATGCACTGGGCTGGCTCCGGGCTCTGGGCACCAGGGCGTCTGCCAGGGTCCCTCTGGTTTCCCTTCGAGGCTCACGCAGTAGCCAGCATTTCTGTGAGCTGCTCTGGAGGAGGCCGTTGCAGGAGTCGGGGCGTCTCTGCTTGTTTCACTCAGCAGTGCCAAGTACAAGAACATCTTGGACACAAGAATCTGCCCTCGGGCGTGGCCATGATGCTTGTGTCTGTGTGCTCGGTCCTTTCCAGAGCCTACCCAGATTTCCAGGGTCAAACTTGGTCTAGGATGGGGGACTAAGCAGAGTGCATAGAGTGACACAAATGACCTGCTGCGTCATCGTCCAATGGGCATTGTTTCAAAAATGCAAGGCAAGGGCCCTGCTTTGCACAAAGTCATCAACATTGCGTGAACATTGCAAAACCTCTCTTGGAGCCTTCAGACTCTGACCTAAAGTTCTCATCTACTTCGACTCCAGTCACCTGTGCAGCTGAGCAAGCAGACGCAGCAACTGACTCCAGGTCTCTCCCACCGACATGTGCAGCACGAATAAAACCGGTAAAGGCACTTTTCCTGACAATGTCAGACCATTTAGCTAAGCCCTTCTGAAGAAAATGCAGAAGGTGGTCAAGAGACACAGTGAATGCTTCCGGACACACTTCTCACACCTGCCACTTCCCGAGGCTGTCCAGAAGTCCTCTCGTGCCTTTAGGAAGTGTGATCAAGAATAAAGTGAAGACTGTGTTGCGGGCCACCAACAGGAAGCAGGCTCACAAAACACGGCACTATGTCCTCACCCACCTTATGCACCACATACGGCACCCTGCAACTTCCGGCTCCCCATGTTGAAAAGGAAAATAAGAGGTGCACATGAATTAGTTCAGAACATCCAGGCGGCCAGAACAGCACAACTACAGATGCTCAGGAAAGTCGATTAGCCGAACAACTTCAGAAAATTACAAAGAACAAAGGGCTAAGTGTGCTCGAAGCCACGGAGGGAATGCCGTGGGGATTCACAACAATGTGGCTGTTTCTCAAGTAATTATCCTAAAACCTTAGGGGTCCCATAGTGCTGGGCCACATCTTCTGTGCTACATTTAGGTGAACTGCATCTTTTGCTGTGCCAGGCACCTGGCGATTACAGACCAGAACCAGGGCGCCCAGTGTGCACCCCGGTGCTGACACGGGCCGGCACCCCACGCTCACATACCAGGCACCTTCCAGTTTCGGGGTCACAGGTATCACTGTGGTTGTTGCAGCTGCAGGGCACGCAAGGTGCAAGCAGGGGCCGGGCTTCTCCACCGCCACCTTCAGGGAGCTTCTGTCTGCGGAAGCCAGGGGCACAGTCCTGTGGGTGTCAAGGGGACAAACAGTGAGCCCTCCAGCTGGGCACTGGGAGGCCCTGAACCCACACCTCCATGGCCACAGGAGACTGGGCAGCCATCACCAGTGAAGATCAACATCCCAATCTCAAGACAAGACAGGTCGAGCCACAGAGAGGCTACCTACGCCCACACGATGGAATATTACTCAGCTTTCAAAAGGAAAGACATCAGTCACACAACACGACTGGGGTAGATGTGAGAACACTGCGCTGAGGAAATAAGCCAATCACAGAAACACAATGCTGTAGGGAGGGTTCCACCCTCACGGAAGCTGGGATGTGGAGAGCCAGACGCTTGCTTTCAGGGAGGAGGCCAAGGGGTATGGTTTCAGCTTGGCAGGGCAGAAAGTGTTCTGAGAAGGGCATGGAGACCAGCGGGAAGGAACTGAGCAGTCCAGCTTCACATTTAGAAAGCCAGCTCGTCAGTCAATGCAGTTAGGTAGACTGAACAGAAAATTTAAACTATCGTTACTTGAAAAAGAAAGGGAAAGTGACACAGAGGCCTGTGTGTTTGGTTCCCCACACAGAGCTGCTGGTGCCAAGCAGAGCTGAACTCGAACCCAGGGCAGTTTTCCCCTGGAGTCCCCTACCTGACAGGAGAAGCCTGCCGCACCGGGAGGACAGGCGCACCGCTCGATCAGCCGCGCCACCTCCCCCTCGGGGCGCTGGCCTGCTGCCATTGCGCCAACGTCCATGGAGATGTTGGAGATTCTGGGCCACCACGGTGCACCGGGGAAAGCAAGCAGGAAGATGGAGACTTAAGACACGTGACAGAAACACGCTGGGTAACAAACGCGCGTATGATTTAGCCAGAGATTCCCTCCCTGCACGTAGAAGCTGCTCAAGGTCATTAAGCTGGGGAGGGGGCACACACCCGGGATCCCAGCTCTCCAGGAGGCTGAGGCAGGAGGACTGCATGTTCTAACCCAGTCTGGGCCACTTAGCCAGGCTTTGTCGCAAATTAAAAAACAGAAGGGGGCTGCAGTGTGGTCAATGAGAAGGCCCTGGGTTCAAGCTGCCGAATCCCCCAAAGAAGGTTATAAATAAAATGAATTAAGTGAAACACGTTAGGGCTGTCATGCAGCCAACACTGAGGGACTTGAACATGTTACAGAAAGTGCACCCCAAAGATGCTCCGGGTCTGACCAAGACTTTAATAGCTATCCTTGGGGGGGGGTGCTAATTGGGTTGGCGATAATGCTCTTTATTTGTCATAACAAAGAAACGGGCCTCCCGCTTTTCAAGTAAGAAAGAGTATTTCAAAAACTATTTCATCTTACGAGTCCACGCGGGTGGACTCACGCGGCAGAGGCTCACCACCCACTCACCACTCCCCTGCGAAAGCGGGCTTGGAGAAGAAGCCAAAATGCACATATTAGGGAACATACTCGTGAGGCCAGTGAAATGAATCAAATCCTCTCACCTCCAGGTCAAGCAAGGGAAAGAGAGTTCTGGAAGCTTCCGTACCTGCTCTGCTGTAGGCCTTCACCATAGGACGCCTTTATGAGGATGTACTCGACATTGCTCAGAACAGACATGAAATCCGCGCGTGTGACAGGTTCTTCAGACACGGAATTAAAATATTTCCAGAAATCCTATGGAAGAGCGACAGCTCCATTAAATTCATTTTGTTTCTATTCTTTTTGATACAGGGTCTCCCTAGGCAGGTCGGACTAATAGTGATCCTCTTGTCTCAGCCTCCCCGGCGCTGAGATTACAGGTGTACACCACCACGCCTGGTTCTGGGGCTGGCATAGCATGTGGTACCAGAGATTGCACTCCGAACCTTGCACTTGCCAGGCAGGCGCTTAGACCACCGAGTTGTCTCCCTAGGCCAGCTCCATTAACTTCAAAGCACACATTTTCACGGGCATAGCACCTGACACAGAACAAGTTTCTTCCATAATTTTCCCTAGAAATTGCCCAGTTCTGGGCACAGCATTGAAGGTAAATGCTGAAGACCTGTCAGGGCCACAGGAGATGCCATTGGCCAAGATGGGCTGGCCACGCAATACCTGGGGGCTGAGGAGACCGTGTCCCGATGCCAGTGGGCACACAGACTCTGCCATCCTGTCCACGAGGGCAAAGCCTTGCACAGAGGGAAAGGGTAAAAGATAGGAGTAACGCAAAGGGAACCGAGCAGGAACCCGGTGCAGGCCTCTGGCAGAAGCTGCTCCCTTCCCAGGCACCCCTTCAGGGAGCGCAGGGTGCCCAGAGCCTCAGACAGGGGCACGCGCTGTACCACTACGCTGCGTGCTGCACACCGCAATGCTCAGTGCGCAAGCTGGCCTCAGTAAGAGACTGGCAAGAGGGACGACACAACGGAACAATTATATAATGCATTAACAACCGCCAGAATTTTAACTCGGCCAGTATTAGGCAAAACAAGAGTAACCCGAATGCAAAGAGCACGGCACCGGGGCGGCGCCAGCACCGGGGTGGCACTGATACTGGGGCGGCACCAGCACTGGGGCGACACTAGTACTGAGGCAGCACTGATACTGGGGTGGGGTGGGGCCTACACAGCGCATGCGCGCGAGAGGGGCGAGTCCCCGGCAGTGTGAGATTTCCTCATGCAGCCTGACACTTATGAGCAGCTTCTTTCTGCAATTTTCCGCTCATCTTGGGACCTCAGCTGGCCACGGGTAACTGCAAGCTAGGATGCAGAACTGCGTGAGCTGAGGCTGTGAGGCTCCGAAAGCTTCTGGAAGCCCTCTAGGCCCAAGGTCTTCCAGCTCATCCTCCTCCGTGGCTTGGGGCTGTCGCTCCTCCGCAGCCCAGTCACACCGGAAGGCCGCACCCCGCGGCCCGCTCACCTCCTTCATCCCCACTTCCTGATGCTGCCACACCCCGTTAGCCGGTGCGGGGGCATCCGCGTAGATCACTTGCTTCCTGGACCGGCCTCCTCTGATGAGAACTTGCGGCTCCAAGTGGAAGGTCCCGGGGCCGGCGGAGGCGTAGAAGGCCACGCTGAACCTCAGCCTGCCGCCGTAGGCCAGGAGCTAGCGCACAAAGACACTGTTTACTTCCCCAGCACGCTTCGGCTTTTCAGCAATGAAAGTTTTACAGAACTAGCGAATGAGGGGAATTTCCTATGTTAAGTATCTCCTCCGCATCTAGCAGAGGGTTTAGTGACCGAGTCCCAGGATCGGCCAGCCGGAGCTCCGCTGGCCGCCGCCCCCGGGGAGGGAGCCCCGGAACCCGCACCCCCACCTGGTCTCCCTGGAACTGCTCCGGCAGCCGCCAGTAGAAGGGCTCGGTGCGCACGCGCTGGCGGACGGCCGCGGCGTCCAGCAGGATGTCCGGGGCCTGCTGATACACGCCCTCGGTCGTGCCGCTCACGTTGCTCTGGGAAACCACGCGCAGGAGGGGCTGATGGGGGCCCAGGGTCACCTGGAGGTGGGGAAGACACACGTGAGACCCGGAGGTTAGCCCCGAGGCTGCACACCGAATTCCCACAGCGTTTCCCGCGCTAGCAGCTCCAAGATCAAGGTAGGTACAGTGCGGGCTTCTCCCGAGAGCCAAACAGCCGGGTTCAAAGGAATGGCACGGGTTGGCCAGGGGACAGAGCTCGGAACAGAGGCGGACAGGCTGCTGTGGCTTTCTTCTGTCCCCACCCGGCCTCACAGGCAGGCTGGCACCGGGCTAAGCTGAAGCTGCCCTTGGTCCCCGCCGCGGTGGTCTCCCGAAAGCAGAGACAGAGCTCTACTTCCTGTATGACGCACGTTGAGGCCCTAAGCCCGCGGGGATGGACGAGGTGCGGGCACAAAACATGGTCAATGTTTACATTAAAAATATTACAAGGAAAGACACGTGACCACGAGCCCTCCTCAGCCGACTCCCCCACTCAGCAAACTCATCCACCGTCCGGCCACTTCCTGCAGCAGCGCTGGAGGCCCCTTTCCTGAGGTTGACTGGCTGAGCTGACCTGACTGCCTCCCTCCGTGCCCTGAATCCATTCTTTTGTGGTCATTCTGAGTTTGGGGAAGAGCCCAAAGTCACACGGTTACAGGTCCCGTGAGGAAGGTGGATGAGGACACACGGCGACATTTTTATTTGGCAGAAGCTGCCATAAACATTTTATCACTGGTATTTGATGTTTAAGGAAAAACTGTGTTATGGTAAAAAGGCAGATGGCCATTCGCCCCACACTTTCAATACACCCCAATGTCCCCAGCAACATGTCTTTCACTCTAGTAAGAGCTCTTAAAAGTTTAAAGTTAGCTATATTTTCCGACGCTCCTGTACGTACGCAGCATCTCTCCTCCCTGAACAGCTCCCAAGGTGCCAGGGTTGAGACAACTGACACCTGTGCACAACTTACAGGAGTCCTCACGTAACCCTCCAGCTCCCTGCAGTCGTGGGACAAGCCGAAGCAGAAGCAGGGGGTGCAGCCCCGGGGGTCGTCGGCCCGCAGGGCAAAGGTGCCCTCACGACACTCGCTGCACTGGCGGCCGATGACATTTTCCTGCGGGAGCAAGGAAGGCTCATTAGTACCTGGAAGACAGAGGCAGCTGCTGTGTTTTGCAGAGACCTGCAGACGCAGGAGCCGAGGCCCACCAGCCTCCACGCAGTGCAGCTCCAGGGGCAGTGATGACCAGGGCCGTTCTAGGCACTCTGGGAGACGCAGACTCCCTTAGGAGCCCTGGAGAGGTTCTCCTGGGATGCCCAGCGATGATGGGCCTGGAGGACCCAGTGATTCGCGTGGGTGTGGGCACGCCTACGGCCTAAGCAAGCACTCTACCACTGTGGTGTACTCTAGCTACTTTGTCTTATTTTCAAAATTTATTTTATGACAGTATCTTACTAAGTGGCCCAGACTGGCCATCAATTTGCAGTCCCTCTGCCTCAGCCTGCTGCCAGCTCGGGTGATGGGTGTGCACTGAAGGACCTGGCCCTCAGGTGATGCCGATGGTCTTTCTGCAAGGAGCAGGGATTACTAGGGCAGGTCCCCTCCGTTCTGATCCCCTCCCCGCTACCCTGAGATGTGGCAAGACAAACCCCGTACTGAAGCCCCCTCGCCTCCCAGGCTGTGCGCTCTCCAGGGCTCTCCGCGGCACCCCCAGCCAAGCATTGACCTGGTGCACGAGCTCCCTCTTGGCACTGCAGGAAGGCCCAGGGAGGGTGCTGTGACCTCCTGGTGCCGAAGCCCTGCAGGAAAGCCTATGGCTGCTGCAAGATTAGGACAACGCCAGACTCTCACCGGCTGGAAAATCACACACGCAGCTCTTGCCCTGCCCGGACAGGCGGGAGCATCGCTGCTTCTCACTCTGCAGTCACAGGTGTCCTGAGCCCTGTGCTCTGTACCTGTCAGACAGGCTCTGTGCCAGGGCAGCGCACTAGAGCGCTCGGCATTTCCGGTGGTGCCATCGCTGACATTTGTAATGAAAGCTAAAGACTCCACGGAAGACGCTTCTTCCTTGTTTATAGGCACCCACAGACTCGGGAGCATGAGGCCAGGGATCAGAATTCCATCAGCCCCAGAGTGAGGGCAGCGCCCCACAGTGGAAGAGCAGATACCTTGCAAGAGCAGGCGCCGGTCTCCTCCGCACAGCTGCACACACCAGGGTCCAGGGCACAGGTGGTGGCCAGTGTCCCTCTCAGGTCACAGGCACAGGGGACACAGTCAGGAAAGTTCCGGTATCCTAAGGAGCACTGGTCACAGCGCTGCCCGCCAAACTGGGTCTTGCAAGGACACTGGCCAGATAGCAGGTCGCACTGTGAGCCTATGGAGCCCTCGTGGCTGCAGTTGCAGGCCTGAGAGAGAGGGAGGATCAGAGTGAGGGAGGGAGAATCAGAAGGAGGGAGGGAGGCACAGAGAGAGAACACTTGCAGAGGCTGCTGTGCACTCGGTCACAGTCCTTGGGGTGGACAGCCTCCCAAGCACCTGCCCCACTGACTTGCGTGCAAGTGCGGGACCCAGGGCCCACAGGGCCAGGAACCCAGGGAAAGCCAAAGGTCCGAACAGGCCAGCAAAGTTACTGCCGGTGTCATGCACATTTTGCTTTGCTTCCAACAACCAGCTATACCCAACCCAGTCTAAGAGTTGCCCAAAACCACGTCTCCCAGATGGGACACAAAGCCCCAGGGAAATGACCACGCCTTCCTCTTGGAAATAGTCGACACTGCAGATGTTTGGAGGGTCCAGTTAGGTTTATGACTCCCTGCTCCTAAGACCACTTGTGCTCATAGGTGGGGCTTTGGGAAGGTGAATGGGTCCTGGGCTCAGAGCTGTCTTATCGCAGAAGGCAGGGTCTGGGGGGAAGAAGTGGGCACTAGGGCGTGGGCTAGGGTGGCGCACCTCCCCCTGGGCTGGGCTCTCTGTCCTGTCCCTAGCTCTCCTCCCCAGGCCTCTCTGCCTTGGAGTTAGCTGACAGTGGGCTGAAACCTTTACCGAACTGTGAGCCAAAGCGTAAAATAAACCTCTCCACTTCGAAGTTGCTGGTATCAGGTATTTGCCCCAGGAAGAAGAAAGATTTTATTTACTGATGGATTGATTGGTTGGTGGTGGATTGAGATGCGGTCTCACTACACTACCCAGGCTGGTAATCCACCTCAGCCTCCATGTAGCTGGGTCCAGGGCGCACATCAAGGCACTCGGCCGTACCATGTGTGAGCTGTGAAACTGTCCCTCAGGTCAAATAAGCACCTGGGCACTCCAGGCATGGGGACGAGGAGGTGGCACCCACCTGGCACCCTAGCTCCGCGTCCCAGCCCCAGTGCTCGGCCTCGCACTCCTGGCACTTCGGGACTTGAGTGTGAGGGGCACAGATGCACTCTCCGGACTCGGGGTCACAGCTGTCCTGAGTGTGGGCACAGTTGCATGCTGGAACAGAGAAGTGGTCTTCCAGAGGGCACGCCCCGCGGGGCTGAGCGAGCCGAGTGAGCCAGAACCCAGGCAGGCTCTGGACTCTAGGAGACCGCCCATCCTGGGGACCCTACTGGAGGGGGGAGCAGAGCTGGTGGTGGGAGAGCTCCCCCATGCCATCATGGAGCAGAGCTGCTTGCCATCCCAGCTGTCACTTTGCAGATGAGAAATGAGAGCAAAGTGCAGAGATGAACCTAAGCTCACAGGAGCAGCAGGCGGCAGGGCTGGGACCAGACCTTAGGCCTGGGCCTGACAGCAACAGAAGAGGCAGGGGGTCCCGAGTGTGAAGAAGAGGGCCTCCAAGCAGCTGGGCCAGCCCAGCGAGGCCCTGGGGAAGCCCGGGATGAGGATCCCGTGGGGAGCCCAGCTTACGCGTGCAGCCACCATCCTGGAATGCGTAGAAGCCGTGGGAACAGCGGTCACACCTTCTGCCGGCGACGCCCGGCACACAGCGGCACTGGCCCTGGTCTGTGCACTCCCCTGACGTGGAGCCTGCCAGGCTGCAGTTGCAGGCCAGACAGCCGAGCCCAGTGTCCAGCCCGTAGTAGCCAGGCTGCGGCACAAGAGGGGAAGCTATGAGCCAGGAAGTGATCGTGCGGACAAGGACATCTCCCAGATGACGTGTGGGACACCATGGGGGCCACAAGGCTTTCATGGCATCTCCAAGTCCCTGAAAGTGGAACGTGGGAGGCCATGCCTGGCCACAGGGGATGACAGTGCCGTCCCACAGCTGTGAATTCTGTGACAGCAATCAGGTGGCACGTGGTGGGCAGTGGGCTTCTTACCAGACACTGGTCACACCGTTGTCCTGTCACGTGAGGTCTGCAGTTGCAGCGCCCGCTCGCAGGATGACACACGCCAGAAAGGGAGCCCTTCTCGTGGCAGCCACAGGCTAATGCACACAGGGATGCACCGGGTCATTTGGGGCTGTGGCACAGCTAGAGATTTTCATGCCCAACAGCATGCCAGAGAGAAAGAGGGCGAGGGAGAGGGAGGGAGAGAGAGGGGCTGAGGGAGGGATGGGAGAGGGAGGGAACGAGGGGGAGGGGCCCAGGGAAGGGGAAGGGAGGGGGAGGGAGGGAGAGAGAGACTGCCAAAATAATCTACACACTTCAGGAAAAGAAAAATAGTATGATGTGTACCAATAGATGGTGTTGTCCTCAAATAGGGGCCCCCGTGGTTGTCACGTGTTATGGAAAATCCACCGCCCTGCTGGCCCTCAGAGCAGAGCTGGACACTGCAGACCGTAATCTCATGGCCAGGGCTGCCCAGGCAGCAGTTCACCGCCCCTGTTACTACAGAGTTTGAGGCACCTTGTACCAACCTCATGCTGTCTTGGCAAATTCAGGATTGAAATATTCATGCCAGTTTCTCTTTTCCTGAAGCATGCATACAATTTTGGGCTGTATATTACTTTGCAATAACTAAATCTTTAGCTTTTTCTGAAGAGTAAGCCAAAATAAAATAGGGTGGGTTGATGCAGGCAACCATCCTAGAAAAAACACTCAAGCTATAAAGATAGTAATAATAATCCTGAAGCTATTAAGATGATCATTAACAAACTAGCTGCATGAATTTCATGCATGCTGTGGAACTTTTAAATGGAGATACTGATGTGTGTTAGCATTTTTCTATTGAGAACACCCATGGTGATTTCAAAATCAATTTTCTGTTCATTTGCATCTCAAACAGGCACATGTGTCACCTTTCAAAATAGTTACAGCACAATCTAGGTAATGTATGCATTCATATTTTACTTCACAACTCAATGAAGAATATTTCCGTCTTCTAAGTTGTGAATGAATTGTGGGTTTGAGCAAGGAATTTCAGATGCGATACTAATATTTAAAGCATAAAGCTCCCCACTGTTTTAAAGTGATGCAAGGTAGGGCCGGCCTGGTAGCTCAGCGGACTAAAGCGCCTGCTTAGGCAGAACGCAGCGGCTGGGCTTCAATCCCAGCCTGCTCCCATGCCAGCCCTGCTCCCAGGGTGCGCTGAGTCGGCAATTGAGACTGGGCGCGGTGGTGCGCGCCTGTCATCCCAGCACCTGGGAAGCTGGAAACAGGAGGACATGAGGAGTCCGCGCTACGCGGTGAGACCCTGGAGGCCCTGGCCTAAATATGGAAAAAAGACCTGACCCAAGTTATCTGGTCTGAAAAATGTCGGATGGAATTTCAGACAACCATCATGCTTTGTGTTAGCCAATTTTCACTGCACCTGATGCACTCCCTGAAGAAATACACCAACGAACGCTTAGTCTGAGGAAATGCGCCTCAGTCCCTAGGACACAGCTGGACACCCCCAACCAGAAAGTCGGGAAGCTGCAGTGCGTTCAGAATTCTAAACTTTTCTGGGTACCAACAGGATGTCACAGTGGACACTTGTGACCCATCCCAGTCAAAACACAGCCGTGCCATAGATACTGTGGCAGGTCACGGTCAGGCAGCCACATGTGGAACCTCTGGGCCTCACGGGTGGACTTTGGTCCGGTATTCCTAAGGGAGCCCGTCAGGTATGTGCAGATTCTGAAATCTGAAAAGCATCTGAAATCCCAAGCACTTTGGTCCCAAGAACTTAAGAGAGATGGTGCTCGGCCTGCCCAACCTTGCAGGAAGCAGACGGCGGAGGGCGCCAGGGACCTGCTTGGTGGCCAGAGAGACGTGCTGGAGTCCAGCCTCCCTGTGTGACCAAGCCAGAGCACCCAAGTCCCAGGACCCCTCTCACCTTTGGGTTTGCAGGTGTATGCAGGCCAATGCCACCCCTTCTGTAGGGCCCCAAAAGGCTGTGCACACCCTCTGGGGGGCCCTTCACCCTGCAGCTTCAGCGCCACTGCCGGCTCTCAGCTGGCACCCACCAAACGCAGCTGCACACACCACCCCGCCCCGCGCACCGCGCAGGCCCTGCCTCCGCTCCTCTTAGCACGGTAGTCCCACCCCGCTTGCTGTGTGTGCGTCCCTGGCCCCTGGCCTGCTGGGCTCTAGGGCTGTCCCAGCTGCTAAATTCTGTAAGCAGATTTCAGTCTGCATCTTACTGGCCCTCTGTGTAGAAAGCAACCCGACAAGCTCTCTCTCCCTAGAACTTCCAAGCAGACAGTGGCGTTGTCAGGCAGAGCAGTAACACATTTTCAATCCCTAAAGCCTGTCTAGCAGGTTGTTTCTGTATTTATAGTGCCCTCTTGCGTCTCCATATTGTAAAGTTACAGAAAGATCAGCAATGACCTCATCAAATACTCAAAAATCAGAACAGTGTTTCACCAATAACAGCCCGCAGGAAAATAATCAGCCTTGAAAACTAGAGTCCACATATGCCAGCCCCAGCCAGCTGGCCTCGCTTGCTCGCCTTCACCATTCTCCTGCTTGCTGGGACTCTGCACAGTGGGTGAGGCTGATGGGGTTGGTGCATCTGAGCTCTAGCTTCAAGGCTGACTGCTGCCTGGCAACTGGGTCTTAACTCTGAGTAAAGTCAGAACCTGTTTTTTTTTTGGATTATTTTTTTTTTCCAGTATTGGGGATCGAACTTAGGACCATATGCTTGCCAGGCAGGCGCTTAAGCCACTGAGCCATATCCCCTGCCCAGAACCTACATTTTTTTATTCACTCACTCCTTGCAGAAATAAATCCTTTCAGAAACAAATCACTACTGGGAAGAATCACCACTGGGGCTCGCTTGTCTCTGGTGCACGCCTGTCTTTCTCAGTGAAGACTCCACATGACGTATACTTTGAAGGCTCCACAGAAAATTCAGCAAAGCGACTCGGGGGTCACCACAGACCACCAAGAGGGACCCACACCTCGCTTTAGTCATTCCGGGGCGGCGGTCTCACCATGTCCCACTCTCTATCCTGACACCCCACCTGTTCCATCTGTGCCACCGATGTGGCAGCTCTGGCTGAAGTCACAAATCACTTGAAGTGTCACAGAGCTTGGAGAACGAGGCCTTGGGAATCTGGCCAAGTGCCGCCCCAGAAGGGCCAGGAGCCGCCTCTCCAAGACAGGGCCCCACAGCCCGAGCCCTGTGACCAGTGGTAGACAGAGGCCCACAGGCATGACAACAGCCCTGATCCTACCCCGCGGCCCAGGCACTCACCGCGACAGTTCTTGGCTGTCACAGCATCCCCGTAGAACCCATCTGCACACCGCTCACAGTGGATGCCGTCTGTGTTCCCTTTGCATTTCAGGCACTCCCCAGTGACTGGGTCGCAGTGACCAGGCTCGGAGGGGTCCACGTTGCCACTGCAGTCACATGGAACACACGATCCCCCGGGTATGGTGGGGTTTCCATAGTAACCGTCTGCGCATCTGTGTCCAAGATGAGAAGCAGGCTGGCACCATTGCAGCTAGTCAGGACGTCAGCTGCCGGCAGGGACTCCCAGAGGGCTGCACTAAAATGCTGGCTCGCTCCTGTGAGCATCACTGGGGTGGGGGGGCTCAAGCCGCCAGCAGTGCCCCGTGGGGCGCGTGGCCCCTCCGATGACACCAGCTCTCCACCCGCTGAGCCAGGGTCTGTCACTGAGACTTACACAAGGGAAAAACATACACCGCTTTCAGGTGCCAGAGGACCAAGGCTAAATCAAGCCACCTGTCACCCTTAGCTCACCCAAGCCATAGGACATTCCAGTGCGCACCGTAGTGCTGCCTCCTCCCAACTCCCTGCTGTTCTGAGCTGGCCAAAAGCAGGGCTCCCGAAGGACTTGGAATCCTGTTTCCCACACATGCCCAGAAACACACAGCATTCGCTGCTCAGTGGGTCCCTTGACCTGGCTCTGTAGCTCTGGAAGTGGTACACACCCAAGGCCCCAACCACACTGAACTCCAGACTTCGAACCTCATGAGCCTCAGCCTTCCATGGCCAAGTGCCAACTCGCACCCTCATCCCCACGCAGAGGCACAGGGATTTTGCACTGGTTAAAAATGGCACAGAACATCCTCACGGCAAACACCCAGCAGGGACTGTGGGTTCTAAAGCAGCAGCACCTCTCGCACCAGGGTCCCGCGTAGCCTGGGGCACACTTATCGCAGAGCAGGTCCTCCTCCTTGTCCAGGCGGCAGGTAGGACTGAAGCTGCAGAGAGGGCAGAAAGGAGTGCAAGGTCTGGGGAGGCTGTCAAGCCCCAAATACATACCTGTGCCTTCTTTTGGCTCTGTCCCGGGCACTAAACCCAAGGAAGGCCTTACCCTGAGCTGCCTCTCTGGTTCCCCTAGTTGTGCAGGCCGGGCCTGGACTTGCAGTCCTCCTGCCTCAGCCTCCCAGAGTGCTGAGATTACAGGTGAGCACCACTGTGCTCAGCCAGCATGCAGTACCTCCCACCACACCTGCTCTTATGAACGCTGACCAACGGGGCCTCTGCAGGGGCCACTG